TGTAAAGAAGTTATGTCACATTGTAACATATCATCACTAGGAAACACTTAAAAAAATAGCTGGTATCTTAACACAAAGAAAGAAAACACTAAAACAAAAGGAAGAGAGACAGTACACTGCTTTAATGCTTAAAAAATTGAGACTGCCTGACAAAAAACAAAATGGTCAAAACGTCTGTCCTATTTATTATTAACCCATAAAGTCTACTAATGTCCACCATTATGTCATGCTACATGTGTCTTTTTGCTGTGAAATATTTAATTAATTTCATAAAGTAAATGTAAGAATAACTTATTTCAAGATGAACAATATACAATAAACAAATCTCTCAATCATCATTATTTTACATTATATACTTATATGTTAAAGTACATTGAAATAGTTAATGGTAGAATCTGATATATATACTTGATATATTTGCTATTTTAAGAATATGGGCACTGCCCAAAATCTACTTACAGATTTGTGAATAAATCATTTCTTTTCTTATTTTCAAAAATTGCTATTTCTTATTTAATTATTATTAAATAATTCTTATTTTTAAAAAAAAAACAATTCTAAAATTAATTTTATGCAAATCTCAACTGATGTAATTACATTTGCACCACTGGCCATAAATCTCTTTACATATTGTAAACCACTGAAAAAAAAATTACATAGGCTGACCAATAATTCATGAAACTATATCTATACGTATATGTAATTATTGCAGCAAGACATGTTGCAGGTGTAGCCAAGACAGTGAGCTGGGATGTCTAGTCTAAAATCAAAATAAACAACAAGCAATATGAGTCAAAATGACTCATGTTGCTATAACACTTGTAACAAACCTGTAGGCATCAGTACAAATGTGTCTTCTCCTAACAGTGTGGCATTAATAGCCTCCAGCTGATTGAAGCGAAACTGATGCAGCCCAAACTTCTTATGGAAGATCTTCATCATCTCTGGGCTGTGAGGAAAGCTGAAGCCTCTAAAGCGGTCATGAGCTGGGTTTCTGTACACGGGTTCTGCAGATCAAGACATACACTGTTAACAGATAACTGCTCATCATGCCATTTCACGGGGTCTTTAATAATAATGAACTAAATTATAAGGGATATAACATTACTCTTACTCTAACTTACCAGGGTTGGATGTTTTGGTAGGTTTTAGCTCTGGGGATGTTACTGTCTTTCTCTCCAAAGGTTTTGAAGGCCCTCCCTCCCGCACCAATGGTGTTTTTGCACCAGAGCTGTCTCTTGATGCCAAGACACTTGGAGGTTCTTCAAAATAATCTGGAATATCAGTCTCATTAAAATCATCAATATCAAAGTCATCGATTAGGAAGTCATCAGCTGGCTCTATATCTGCTTGAGAACAGTTGGGTACTGCCGTGTTGGTTTCGACACTGCTCTCAGCATTTCTCTTGCCTGAATCTACTCTTTTTGGGGAATAAAACAAGTCAACCTGATCTCCACCTACAGTCTGAATGTTTGACTCATTGAAGGACAACCTTGAGTAGCACTTATCTGTTTTTGACTCAGATTTGCTTGAAGGTGGACTTGACCTGTTTGAGATGTCCCTACTAGTTGTTGTTTTTGCTGAGCTGTTAGGATTCCAGGAACCACCAGGGGTTTCAACTCCACTGATGATGCAGTCAGAGTCCTCAAAAACACTGTCATTTCCCAAAGACATGACAGAGGCAATGGACTTGCGAAACTGAAAGCCTGTTTTGACACCCTCTCCCCTTTCTGATGTCACTGGGGTCATGGATGATGTTAGACTAGAGGGTGTGACTCCAAAAGCTTGTCTTTTTAGCAGACTAGAATATGGAGTTGCTGCTGGGTCTAACTGAGATGTTCTAGATGGTGCACCATTAGCAAGAATCCTTTTCCTGTGGTAAAGATAGAGAGTTATTAGTTATGCTGTAACAAGCAGCAATGTCATCTAACGCGAATATATTAATAGAAAACTATAAAATGAATATCACACTTGCATAACTGTAACATTTACTTCCTAATGAGTAAAAGGGTGAATTAGTCACCTGACATAAAAAAACAAACCAAGAAAACTTAATCTACGAATGATGTCACAATGAATGCAACATCTCAAGGGTCCTAAGAACAGCCTTTAATTTTAATAGCAGAATTTATGCAGAATATTTAATAGCATATTTTATGCAAAAAGTAATAGCAGACTATCTAAAATATGTAATTTTTTAAAATTTACACAGCGAAAATACTCCTTTATTACTTCACCTGTGCGCTCTCTGCAGTAATAGCTCAGTGCCACAGGTCAGCGCTATGAGCTCATGCTCAGGAATAGTGTCCACTAGACGACAAATAGACTCCATAACAGTAAAGAGAGCATCATACGGTCCTAAAACATAAGTACATCATTTCATATAGAGCAAATGGTTGAATACCAAAAAGTTCAATCCTGCATGAGTGATACCTTTTAATTCTTTGGTAGGTTCATCCAAGGGTGCTGACAGGCTTGAGGCAGACTCATGAGGTGGAACATTTTTGTCAGCATGGGTAACAGGGTCAGATGAACTATAAAACAGTTTTAGAAAATAAACTTAAATGAAAAGAAACTGTACTTATTTTCATTTGTAGTTTACAAAAAAATTATTTTGCAATGAAAGCATGTTACCTTTTCTCCTTTTCTGAGTCAAAGGGACTCATCTCCTCGGGAACAGGGGATGGGGGGATGAAATTCTGATAATCTTCATAAAAGTTGTCTGTCTCAGTCTCATCGATGTCTATGATGTTTGTCTCAGCCCACTGTTCTTTTTCAGCAGCTGCAAATCAAATACTGTGTATTATTTTTGTGAGCTTTATATTAATATCGAAGCACAACAACCTTTTCTTTAACAGGAGAAAAATGAGGGGTAAACCCACTGAAAAAATTTAGGTGCACTAACTTGTCACACAATTGATGTCCTTTTGGTTTTTCTCTGGTGAAGTACAGTCGATGATCTCCTCATCTTCAGTGTCACTCAGTAATGCCTTTTGCTGGACTGATTTCTTATGTCTTTTGGTCTTTTTAATGGGCGAGTCCTCGGGCTCTCTCTCAGCAGGCTCAGTGCCGACTCTATTAGCAGCTGACAGGACGTCCTTTGGGGCAGTTATGGCTTCTGTAACCTGTAAACCTCCATTTAATGTAGTCTCATCACTCTTAGCACAAGAGGAATTTGGGGGGGTGTTCTGGTCCGAAACACTAAGCTTTTTTGTAGAGGTCCCTGTAACTGGGGACACTACTCTTGTCTTGACTGGGGTTTCAAAATCATCCAAGTCATCCCATTCATTGAAGGAGAGTTGAGAGATGTCATGCTTAGGTTCACCCACAGTTTGATCCTTAGGTAAGGCTGCAGATTTGAGCAAATCCTTAATAGTAGATTGGACAGGAGGTGTTTTGTTCACAGCAAATGGGTTGGCTAATGGATTAACAGTATTTGTCTTCGGTCTGCTGGGTGCTGCGAAGAAGTTGACTTTCGGTGCTGCTCTCTCAGGCTTTTGCGAAAACGTCACAGGAGTTTTGGTTACTTCACAGCTGCGGGGAATATTGACACTCCTGTTTGCCAAGACATTTGCACCAGTTACCTTTTGAGGAACTTCCACTTTGGAGAAGCTGGATGAAGACTTCTTTTTGAAACAAAACTCCCTGAACAGAGAAATTTCAGAGGTTAGACAAACTTGCTACACATTTGAGATGTTGATATGGATTCATTTTAATTTTATCTATCTATCTATCATGTTAAAGACCGTCTTTGCAGGCTCTCCGATTCTTGTTTGTATTTATTCTGTACCTAAACCAATCTATCTATACTCTGTACTTAAATCTATCAGTTCTGTATCTGACTGTTTTTGCTCTGTAGTTAAATCTATCTATCTATTGCAGATAGATTGCATAATATAATAATGTTCTTACCCATGCTTTGGTTTCAGCAGTGACAACTTGTTCTGTGCAGCATTATTGTGTCGTTCCAGTTGCTCCTTTAGGTTGTTTTGAGGAAGACTCGGCATTGTGTGTGCATTTATATTAAATATGAATCCTCCAAAGTTCATGTATATGGCATTTAATCAGCTCCACAAACAAATACACACGCAAAAATAAATACAGGCATGCTCCGTTAGAATGCGATATTACAACCCTTGGTTTAGGACAGAAAACTCACAACGGAAAGTGTTGCTCTTTCTGCCATCGTGTGAACATTAAAACAACATAAAGAGAAAGTCACACAAAATGCCTTTACAATTTCCGCCACCAAACACAAAAGTTTGATATTCTGATATAACATACGAGCGCGCACAAAGTCACCATAACACCTCTGAAAGCTCGTGCTTACCGCGTATTCTTCTTCTTCTTCTTCTTCTTCTTTTGTGTTTAATGGCGGTTGGCTTTTGAGAAACATATCACTTTAGTTTTTTCTACTGACAGTCTAAAACTCCACTTATTTACCCATTTTTCCACTTCATTAACTTACCGCGTATTCGTAGCTCGTACTCTGATTGGACAGCTGTCAGTAACGTCACTTCCGGTAAGCGGCTGCTCGTTTGCAACCGTTTTTATACAGTTTGCAACATATATTTTTTCTCATTTTCAGTTTTACACCATCAGTATCTTTTTTCTATTTCTCCACTGTCTTTTTTTGCTCAGTGCATTTTCGTGTCGCAAGGTAGACTAATAAGTACATAAATAACTGCTTCCTCTCTGGCGCTCGTTGTTGTAGCTCAAACATTAATGTGGATTTAGGTCGCCACATACTGGTTTGCTGTGGAATTGCACATCATTTACATATTCTATCTCAGCAAGGAAGTACAGTCCCACAGTATTTAATTAAAAAGCAGCATATACAATTATATATTTAATATAGTAGTAACTCCAGCAATGTCTGCAGCGTTTTACTTTTTAAAGTCTTTAAGCTGTACTTAATGGATGAACACCATTACTCTGATGGAAAGTGATCCATAAAAAAATATAAGACACACACACAAAAACAAATCCCTGAGAAAAGATTTAGTTCAGTACAATAGTTTTGTACTTAAAATCTTAACAAAGCAGACAACTTTAAAAACAAAATGAAGCATATTAAGAGCAAATGGGGTGTCATTGAATGTTTTAAATGAATGTGAATAATTATTTATTACAAAGTTAAATAAGTATTTAACTTATTTACTGACAGCTAGTATAGACTACAACTCATTTATGAAGATGTTGTCCATTGTGCATAAAATGATTTTGTGTGAGAGTAAAATGTAATAACTTGTCTCCCTTTTTATGGTGTAAGAAAATACATTTCAGTTATTTACACCAAAGGTAAAGGATAGGATGAACACGCAGCAAGTCCACACATATTCTTTCCCCTCTCAATGTAAAAATATCTGTATGGGAAATAAAATAATTAACATTAAACATCACATTTATTGCTATTAACTTGGTCAAATGGTCAAGTTTCAAATATAATCGCTACTGTATTTTGTAACCTTACAGTAGCACAACATTTGAGGAAATCATGCAAACAGACCCGTTAATTCCCCAGTAGGTTCCCCAGGAGTTCTTCACTATCCAGTATGGAGTTCCATTCTGCTCAGCATAGCCCACAGCAAGCACTGCATGGTTCACCATGTCAGTAGTGTTATGACACACTGTGCTATAAAATAAAGTCATAAAATTACAGAAATTGCCAAGAACTGTCACAAATAAATCCAATATAAAACCAGTAGCCTATAAAAGCAAATGTATATATATTTCATACTAACCTGGTATATATTCCATCTTTGTAGTGCATGAAATCAGATGTCACCTCATATGCAAAGCTGACAGGGTTCAACCTGGCCACAGCATCCACCATTCCCATTTCATCATACTAATAACAGGAATTTACAGTTAGAGAGAAGGCATGAAGTTAATATTAATATTTGTACATGGACCATCACTTACCTTTGTAATGTTTACAACACCTTTCACAAAGGCAGCAGCTAAGTCTGGTTTGAATCTGCATTCACCTTCCTACAAGCATGTACAGTATGAACAAATGTCACCACTTTATGAATGAATCTTGAAAACAACAGCTGAAACAGTAAAATACTTACTTTAGCAGTATAGGGGTAGTCTAGCTCTGTCATAAGACCTTTGTTGTACATGATGTACTCAAAGGCATGACTTGGGAGGCCACTAAAAAGCATGTGACAAGAGTAAAATGTTGTTTAGACTATTTTACAGTGAAGACTTTACTCCTAAACCCATAAAATAAGCCAAGATGAGTTAATTCATCATTTTATCTAACTCACCCATTGCAGCCATGATTGTCGAAAGCACCTGCACAGTCTACAAGCTGCTGCTCTGCCTGTAAAGAGTGCGTGATAGGAACAGGAAGAGGTAAGACAAAATAACCTGATGTTTCATAAATTACAGTTATATTTCATTACTAATGTGCTGTTTTGGGGTTTGTTTGAACCTGCCAAAGGGCAGAAAAAGGGAATTATTGGTATATTCATTACAATGTTGATACTAAATTAAATAATAAGACATTATTAATATCTGATGATGAATGTTCACAGCCATTGTTAAATTAAAAGCAACATATACATACTAGTTGTAGGAGTTTCCCCGTGGCAATAGCAGTGACAGACTCCAGACAGCCTGTGGTGGAAAAAGTCCAGCAGCTACCACAAGCTCCCTGGAATAGTGTCACCGATTAAGCATCAGCACTGTTTAATTAAAAAAATTAATTATCATAAGCACAATAGAGGATTATTAGAGCAAGATAAGCAAGCTACCTGGTTCTTGACATTAGTTACATAGTTTCCTTTCGTTCTCCAGTCAATCATATCAGGATAAGGCCCATTACTGCTCAGATGATTCCCTCTAGTGGCGGAGCAGTTCTGTCAGGTTGTAAAATATTCATGAATTGTGGTACTTTCCTATTTCCTCATTGATCACGAGAGGCTGTTAAAAATAATACCTGAGGTTCTGTCAGGAGGTAGGACTTTTTAAATTCAGCAAAGGTCATGTCTGAAAACGGATTCAGTCCCACTGTAAAGTGCAGAGAAATGTTATGTGATTTTTTAAAACATCGTGTTCATTAAAAAACAAAAAAACATCGTGTTCATAAAACAAAGATTTCAGTAAATTAGATTATATTAGTCATAGCCTACTTGAAAACTTATGGTTTCCTGCATTATGGCGCTCAATCTTCTTCTTGTTGTCCAGGAATATCTGTAGTCGCTGGTAATATTCATTTATCTCATAATTTTTGTCATACTGCAAATTTCAAAAGAATAAACAAAGTTACTTTTCTTCCTCTTCCTAATTTTTCACTTCGTTCATAGTGTCGCCTTAAATTTCCTTTGTGTTAGGAAATGAACTTACAAATAACTTATTCTTACCTGAGACATCCATGATTTGAAAAGATACTCATCTGTAACAAATAAATATTTATATTTTCACTTTTAATGCACACAACCGTTCTCCAAAGTACTTTTATCATGTTTAAATTAATTCATCATTCGTATTTAAGTCCACAAAATGTAGGCTATTTTAAATGTTGTATTATATATAACTATGACTCTATGACTATAGCCTTCACTTTAAGTTTGAGTTGTCATAAATTTGTTATGCATTTGTACTGAAGCACCAAATAGTCAAAAGCGAAAGTAGCCTACGATGCAGCGTCACACGTACGTGGAAGAAAAAAAAAAAGCTCAAAGTCAAAAGCTGGTTAAAAAATTTACCTTCCTCAGTGTGCAGTGGCAATGTATGCACCTGATACAGAACGGCAAACAGCACCGGTAAAAACAGCATGTTCATCTTCAAGCCTGCGAGCAATTCATAACAGCAGCATAATATAAGATCTCTTGAGCTTCAGCACTCCTCCTACACGAGGGAGGGCTTTCATTGTCCTCTGCTCTTCGGGTTAAAGGTGCACTCGATGTTCTTTTGAAAACTGAAACGTTTTACACAAAGAAATGAGCAGCATTTTTTTAGATAGCCTATATCAGTAAAATGTGCACAGATAAAGCCGTTTTATTTTACATGGAGCGGGTCGCCTCCCCAGGAGCTGCAGCGTTGACATCACATGACCAGTTGTGTCACGCTAGTGAGTTACACAATAAGTTTAGCTTACAGGTGCATCTCTTAATACACAAGTTTCACAATTTGAGTTGAATTACTGAAATAAAGTTAATAATAAATATAGGCAAAAAATAATAAAGGCAAAAGTTATTATTATTTTTTTTAATTTACACCCAATATTTTTCCTGAAATTTACCCTATACTGTGTACATCAAAAGTGTCTGATATGATTTATGGCATGTCAAGCTGTGTGATACAAAAACTCTGCAAACTATGCAAACTCTGCAAAACACATGCAAACTATTTATAAAGTCTTACAATTTTCTAATGGATGTGTTTAAGGCAGCAAAATATCAGAGCAAACAAACACCGTTTGCTAAATGCATAAATGTAAATGCTAAAAACCTGCCGTTTTAAAATAAATGAGGCCCGTATCATTATACATAATACACTTATGACCCATTTTTTAAGTGAGCCAAATGAAGTGAGCATGACAAAAACCACATACAAGGAAGCAATATCCCCCTGAGATAGAATAGATTTATTAGCAAGAGGTAATCAGGAAACATACAGTTTATTTAATTTTCTTTCTTTCTTTTTCTTTTCTGTTCATTTCTTTTTTTTGTACAAAAACTGGAAATATTTCCCAAGCCGTGGAAATAAACTTAAGGGTTGAAAGATAATTCTCATACCACTGGGTATTGCTAACAGCAAAATGTTTGTTTGTATGTTTATATACCATTTATAAGAGTATGTGCACATAGATGTGTATACAGTATGTATGTATGTGTATATATATATATATATACATATATATATATATATATATACACATACATATATATTGTTCTTTTTAAAGTTTCTGGCTGATACAGTGTTGCATGCCTGCCACATGAGCGTTTAGTGTGTTTCCAGACTGTACATAGTAAAAATACATACAAATATTCACAGAATAAGCACTACATTACTATATTCCTGCTAAGAGAACGATTATAGACAGGATTACAGTATATGCAAAAACACTTTAAAGTCCTCTACCTCTAGATCATGGTTTCAAAATCACAAATCATATAGCATTGAGTGTGTAAGCATAGGATACAACGCTTTAAAAGAGGTGTGCTTTAAACTAGTACATTAGCAAGAGGTAATCAGGAAACATACAGTTTATTTAATTTTCTTTCTTTCTTTTTCTTTTCTGTTCATTTCTTTTTTTTGTACAAAAACTGGAAATATTTCCCAAGCCGTGGAAATAAACTTAAGGGTTGAAAGATAATTCTCATACCACTGGGTATTGCTAACAGCAAAATGTTTGTTTGTATGTTTATATACCATTTATAAGAGTATGTGCACATAGATGTGTATACAGTATGTATGTATGTGTATATATATATATATATACATATATATATATATATATATACACATACATATATATTGTTCTTTTTAAAGTTTCTGGCTGATACAGTGTTGCATGCCTGCCACATGAGCGTTTAGTGTGTTTCCAGACTGTACATAGTAAAAATACATACAAATATTCACAGAATAAGCACTACATTACTATATTCCTGCTAAGAGAACGATTATAGACAGGATTACAGTATATGCAAAAACACTTTAAAGTCCTCTACCTCTAGATCATGGTTTCAAAATCACAAATCATATAGCATTGAGTGTGAAGCATAGGATACAACGCTTTAAAGAGGTGTGCTTTAAACTAGTATGTTAAGAAATACATAGGGCTGCATGTACAAAATATACAGAATACTTTTCTGTGTGGCGAGTTGACAATGTTTGTACAAAAATGTTTCTACAGTCATTTTTTCCCCTTTCTTTTTTAGGTAAGGATGCAGAACCCTACGTCTTTATTCTAGGACTACAAAAATACCATTTGTATGCTGCAAGCGGGAAGGTCATTCACTTTTGATCATACTCTTAAACGGCAATGCATTTTACAAAGTGATATTCAGTCATGTTCCACAATCACTGGAACAGCAAGAAGGACATAGATTGTCTGTAAATGTACAATAGCTGGATAATCTGGTGTAGAAGGATATTGTTGAACCCAGAATACCTTTTTCCCAAAAAGCTAAGAAATGTGGCTGTGAGCAACGGAAACATTACATGGGTAAACAATCACGAAACAATCAGTTTCAAAAAAATATAATGCAGATCTTGCTTCTTTTTGTGAAGAAACAGTATAATTTAGGGCTGAGGAAATCATAAGAAATGTCTGCAAAATAAATTGTGCATGCAAGAACAGATCAAAATCCTTATTGGCCAACAGAAGACATATCCTATGTCTTTTTTAATGTAATACAATTGCCAAGCTATTCACTGTCTGCTTTATTAAGTCATGGCAAAACTGTTAAAAAATATCATGGCAGTTTAAGCATGTCCAACTAACCCCTTGAGAAATCAAGGGACGAATGTTAATTATCGCAACAAATAGATGAAAAATGCTGGAGTTGGTTCTGCGAAGTACAGTGACATGGAATATAATAGTATAACAGTATAAGTGTTTCTATATGCTTGGTTGTATACAGTAATATATCTGCTTTCTACATTGCTACATGGTATGCATATACTGTAAATTAGTTACATGCATCTATTAAAATCTCAAAATGCTCCTGCCTGGCGTTTCATATTTCATTACGGTGATGTGGATGAGCCTGATCAATTAAATAGACAACCACACCTTGAACTAGGATTGTATCCTTTTGCAAGTACTGTTAAAAGCATACTTTGGATTTGGAAAAAATATGATTTTCTAAAGAACATAGGCTGAAATCAACGGTGTAAGATCTGAAACAATTAGGCAACATTTGGTTACGACTAAAAACAAGGAAACACATCCAGGAGTAATAATCATGTTACATAACAGAACACAAGGATGTATACTGTAGAGAGCGTGGTGTCTGTACATTGTGTAGACGTTAGGCAGAGCCTCTCTCAGTTGGGCACTTTAGGCTCAATTCTGAGAGAGGCTTCATACAGGCCTTCTTCATCCATTACTGAGCTTCTGTCCAGTAAATACAGTGCTGCCTGAAAGACAAACACGGTGACAGTTTCATATTGAATGTGATTCTTCAATGCAACCATGGCTCAATTCTCAATTCGAGTTTCCTACACTGCAGATTCCAAAAGGATTTTTAGGGCCTTACTGTTTTTAATCTGAAAATGATTATGTACAGAACAAAGCATACTCAAACTTAACCACCAGTGTTACTAGGGCTAGTGCATGCTGATCATGAAACCCCATAATTTGGCAGTGCAGACCAATATCAGTTCAATACCTTTGGCTGGTAATCAATCTTGTATGCCGTTTGCTGAAACTGCCTGATTTCACGGATGATATGGGAAATCTGTAAAATAAAGGAAATATGATAACAAAATGAAATCTATAACTCTTTCCCACACACGCATTAAAGAAATGCATATAAAAAGACCTACCATTCTCATTTTGGAAAAATTGACCAGGTTGTCCTCTGTGTAGTTGGGCGTCCCCTCCTCAATAAAGGCCAAATCAGTGAGGTACATTCCCAAATATGGCACACAGGGAGGGTCACAACTAGCAGAAATATGAGAAGAAAATGCAGTATTATGCATGCTATGGCAAAATAAAATAAATCCTATCACCTACATGCTCAAATATAGAAGTCTGACTTAAATTACAGCAACAAGTACTGACTTACTGCAAGTGATAAAAAACATACTTTTTTAAGGCCTCTCTGAGGTTCTTGAATCTTCCTTCAGATGAGACCAACTTCTGCAGCTTGTCAATGACTGTTTTGGTCTTTGATTTAAATGGAATAATAAAGTGTGTTAAATGATTTCAGTCTGTATTCAGTTGTCACATACTTTCAGATCTAACATCAAATAAATGTTCAACAATACTGGATCAACAGGAGGAGTCCAGTAAATATTCTTTTATTGCCTTAAACTGCACTGGCCCTACTTTAACCCTAAAGTCTATTCATTTAATTTCAATGAGGGTTTTATCAGGCAGTTCCACACCTGTTTGGACACTTTGAGCCAGGTCTTCTTCAGACGGAAGATGGAGCTGCGATTGAGGGATGAGGTGATTTCCAGCACGGCATTGTAGTTATGGAGACAGCGGCAGATATCGGCCACTGCCACCCACTTCTCTATCACTGCTACCCGTACATTCACATCCTCACTGTACAGGATCTCTGTAGCGATCAGGTTACTGATCTTTAAAAGAGACAAGAGGTATATCGACATTATGTTCATTATGCTTTATTTGGAACAATGCAACAACAAATACACTGCAGCAACTTTGCACTTAACTAGAACCAGATGCTTTCACATTGAACACTTACATCATTGAAGTGTTTTGTCGTTTTCATGATGTAAGGTGTCTTCTCATTCTTATCGTTCTTCATCCACCCTTGACCAAAAAACTCCCTGTTCATGGCAATGAACATATTTGTGAGGAAAAACACACAGATAACTTAGGGATGATGGCATGTCCATAAACAGGTTTTAATATTCTTCACATTTCACAAATATTCAAGTATTAAGTTGAATCTAATCAAACAATGTCATTAAGGTTTCTTGTTAAATGTATAGTTCACCCAAGATGAAAAATGGTTTATTCACCCTCATGTCATTCATGTCAAAGTTGTATGCAGAATTGAATTGACAGTCTATTGTATTACTTCAAAAGACTTCAATAGGCACAAGTCATATGGCAAGCACTGTGTGAAGATTCTTCAAAACGTATTTTGTGTTCAATGGACACAATAGGCATAAATGTTTGAAGCAACATTAATGACATACTTTTTATTTTTGTGTGAACTATCTGTTTACTCTCTAGTAAAGAATGAATACATTGAAACATAATCACACTCACTCGTATGGTATGACTTTGAAAACAAGGTGGTCCAGCAGGGTGAGCTGTTCTGCGATCTCCAGAGCCGAATGATTCTCAAAAGGCTCTGACTTTCCTCCTTCCGCCTATATAACACACAATTAGTTAAACGAGATACTGAATAATGAATTTCAGCACAGTTTACACACCTTTATAAGTGGTGAAATATACTATAGACTATAATACAATTTGACACAAAAGAGGAGTTCTGGATATACACTACAAGCCAAAAGTTTTGAATCATGAAAAAAAAAAAATCACAGATTCCACAAATCTATTAAGAAACACAACTATTTTAAACATTGTTTCTTGGAGGATCAAATCAACATATTAGATTGATTTCTGAAGGATTATGTGACACTGAAGACTGGAGTAATGGCTGATGAAAATGCAGCTTTGCCATTACAGAAAAAAATAATAAAATAAAAAAGAAAATAAATATATTAAAATAGAAAACAATTATAATAACTAGTCATAAGATTGCTTCTTGAGCATAAGAGTCTTCTTTCAAAAACATTAAACGATCTTTCGGACCCCAAAATATATTGGTAAGTTCTGATCGTTTTAGCAATGAAATGTTGAGTAATTTGGAGGATGACCCAGAATCTCCCCACTCACCATCTGCAGCACCTCCTCCAGAGAGATCTGATTGTCACCAGGATCCTCCTGTGTCAATGTCCTGTCCAAAAAAGAAAGAAAAAAAAACAGCAAAACCACTGATTTAATTACATGAACAAGAGTTTATTAGATTACATAAATCTAAAATACTGTAGGACAGGATAATCCACTACTACATGTGTGCATTGATTCTGTCAGGGTGTAGACAGACTCTACTCACCTTATGATGTTGGCAGCAGCTTTCCTTTCTTGGGTCAGAAGTTCAGGATCATGCATCACCTCCTCCAGGAAACTAATCACTTTCATTTTGAGCTCAGTGTTGGTTTCAAAGTCCTACAAACATACACACACAATACACAGGTGTGCAAAAACAAATTCAATGCACACATAACTCCACAGAAAGTTCTGCAGATATTCTTTTTTTATTGTCATTCATATGGTATGATGTTTTAACGTTTTATCATGTTTAAATCCATTCCACAGAATTCGCCACATCAAAATCAGTGCAGAAACTTGTCCTTCTGGGACAAATTATGACCCACAACTTGGACACAAAAAAAAAAAAAAAATTCCGTACTGCATTTTGTTTCTAGTTGGTGATTTCTTATATTAAGTTTTACACTCTTAGAAATATTTTTTATTGTCATCTGTGGTTCCATGAAGAACTTTTGACATCAATGTAAAAAGATTATTTAAGGGGAAAAATGTCCTTTATTAAAATGTTGATTTTAAGAACTGATCACTGAAAGGTTCTTTGGGAACCCAAAATGGTTCTTGAGTGGCATTGCTACAAAACCCTTTTATTTTTAAGAGTGTATAATGTTTACTTAATCTCACCTGCGAGTGTTTGGACACCCAGTGCCTGAGGACATTGAGAACTCTGTTAGTTGCTGCTCGACGAATCACAAACTCCTTATCTCCGTTCCTCTGATCCGTGGGGAACCCTGATAACCAATCAAAATTCACATGAATCCCTCTTCTGCCAGGCAACAAATATCCACAGCCTATGAGAGTTTGAAACAGATTGCTGAATCCTACCTGTGCTTGCCAGAGACATGCGGCGGTACTTCTCCTTGGTTGGCGTGCCCTCGTTGGCACCTGCAGTGGCAATGGCGAAGGCAGAAGCAGCAGACAAGGCGCTACGGTTGTTATCCAGCTCCCGACAGGACGACATCACCATGCCATTGTTGTACGAGAACAGAGAGAATTCTGCCCAGAGAGAAAGACAAGTAGCACATACGATTGTTAAATGCATGTTTGGAGGTTAATTTAGCTTTCATTTCAGAATTAGTCAGCTACTCAAAACCAATTAAGAGATTTAAACAAATAAATAAAATTTTTGCATACTTCAAGAGATAGCAAAATACTGGCATTTTCAATATGCAAAAAAGAAAAAAAGAAGAAGAAAAACAACAAGCATAGTTCAGTGTGCAAACATTAGGATAATTCTATCACTGTCAGTTACATTTTACAGAACATTTAATTAAATTTAAGTCAAAGCAATAAAAAGCAAAGTCAAATTTATTATTGATAATACTAATATTATATAAAATAATGTTGATAATAATATAATATTAATGAAATTAATATCAATAATCAAGTAATATAGATCATTATAGTATTAGGCTTTTTATGGCTGCAAAGTAATTTAAAAATTGTATTAACAGTCAGTTTGCAACACCATCGGGCGATCAGAAATCTAAGAGCTGTTTTATAAAAAAGATTTTCAAACATTAATATTAAATATTTTAAGATTTTATATTTTTAATTAAGTATTTTTAACCATAAAAATTTACAAAAAATAAATAATACAATTAAACAGCACAATTAAATCTAAAATGATTTACAAAACAAATTTTGAACCTGTACTCTAAGATATTCAAGCTGAATTAATAATATAATATTACTGAAATTTTAACAAACCAGTAATATAGATCATTATACTAGTGCTGTTCATGATTGCAAAGTAATGTAGCAATTTTACCAGCACACTTTTTGCAACAGTTTCGATTGTGGCTTATTCAATCAGAATTCTAATAAAGAATGTATTGTAATATAACAATTAAAACAATATAACAATTTGATTAACATTTTGCAACAGAGATAATCAGAAATCTAAGAGCAATCTATTTTATAAGGACAATTTTCAAACATCAATATTAAATATTGTAAGAAAGTAAATAAATAAAATACAAAAATAAATAAATAAAAAGTAAACAGCACAATTAAGCCTAAAATGATCTACAATACAAAGTTTGAATCTGTACACTAAGAGACTTGAGCTGAATTAATTGCAAACATGTTTAAAGAATATCAATGCAGTGTACCTAAAACTTGTCAACTGCCAGTAGCCCAAAAACTAAAGATCCAGACAAAGTAAATGTGAATTTGCTGTGTTTCAGAGTGCTTCCTCTTTAAGGGTACAGCAGGTGTAAAATAAGACAAGATGGACTCATGCAGAAATAATGGAGGCAGTGACTATCTCCACAATGGATAAGCCTCCGATGATGACATGAAAACGACACGACTGTTAAACAAAAAAGACTACCCAGATTGTCCAGGACTGTCAGCAAGACCAAAATAAGCCCGTATTTTCATACTGTTAGTTTTGTACTTGCAAGCACTTTCCACAGGCTAATGCATCATGTTATCATATGAAAAATGTCTTTTTGGTGGATAAGAGTGATGATGCTGCAATGATGTAGTGCATCTAAGCATCCAGCAGGTGGCGGTACGAAACATAAAATCACAGACTGCGTCTTCATCAAGACAATAGGCAGGGCTATGGTTCTCAAGATGGTTGAGACTAAAAATAGCTCATCATTTCACTAAGATGTGTGCCTCAAATACACTCTCAGAGAATAACAAAAGCAGCGTTTTAAAGAAAACAAGTTTGTTGTTGCATGCTTCAGGTAAGGTTTAGAAAAAACCTAAGGGTAATGAAACATGCTTTATTCTTCTACTGCCATCTAAAGCTTGATGGCAATACTGTGTCACACATATGAAACAATGGGGTCATTAGTGAACTTTGAACCCCATTTAATTTAGTTTTGAAAGCAAGGAGACAGTGTTGTTGCAGTGCATCGACTGCACTCAAACAAACCCGGTAACCGGGGTGGCAGAGAGAATACATGCTAATGGTTGCTATGGCACAAGTTTCCCAAACACCTACACACGCCTCCTTTGGCGTTTCCCTGAGCTTTTTCTTCTTTTTTTTTTAACCTACAGAATTAATGAGATTTTGCATGAATCGTATCTTGCGAGGCTTCCATCTACGTCCTCAGGATCACTTCAGACCTTTACAGATACAGCGTGTACTTTAAAACATGAACAACACGTAGGAACAAAAAAAAAGCAGAATACAGCGATATCTCACATACAAAAATGCTAAGGAACTTGAAGTTTTTACATATAGCTAAATATGCAAACCTTTAACAACTGACTGTTACTGGACCTTTGAATTAAACACTCAGTTTCTCAAAACAAGCGAGCCTGCCATTTTGAGCCATTGATAAATGCAACATTTGGCTGGTCTGAAGGGTGCAGGTGGCTTGTCAGCGTGAGATGCAGGTGCTCTGGTTTTCATGTCAGTGAGCGATAACAACATGGCAGGGAAGTCTAGGACAGAGTGTCTTCTACCTGAGGAGTTTTTGCATTTGACGTTTTTGGGAGTGGTGGGTGATTTGGTGGGCGACACTTCAGCCTCTGCCTCATCACTCTGGATCTGGTCGTTGTCGATTTCCTCCCTCACTGAAATGTCTAGAAAAAATCAGTCATAGGCATTACAGTTATCCATATGCATAACATATCGAACACATGAAACATTACAAACCCACCATATTATGACAGTTTGCTGTCTGCGTGTCAAAAAGTTGGTTCCAAGCTGATACTATGATTAAAAACAGTTTGTATCCTTAATAAAACTAAAACCGTAAAAAATAAAAATTTTCATTACTTGAAATAAAATAAACATTAACTGAAATAAAATATATATATATATATATATAAAGTATTTTATTTCAGCTTGGAAACATTTTTCATTTACGTTTAGTTAAGTTGAAGTATGGTACTAAAATTACTAAAACTAAATAAACAAAAACTAAAATCTTATAATAGAATAAAAAAGACAAAAACTAATAAAAATGATACAAGACACAATTATTGTGTTACTAATTTAATATAATATATATAAACAAAAAAAAACAAATTCAAAATATTAACAAAAACTATAAAAGTTTATCAGTGTTACTAAAATAAATATTACTATGCAAAGTCTGTCTGACTACTTGAAGGTACAAGCCATTGTTTAGTTTGTTATAACAACACACACACACACACACACACACTCAAATATTCAGTAATATAAAAATACAACAAATACAAAAATTTTTTTTACAACAATGCATGTACTTTCTTATTTTTTTATTACAAATATTTTAGATTTTTTTTATTATATTATTAGTAAATATAATGAATATAATTTTTAAAAATAAAGCACTGTTTTATTAGTTTATGCTGTGTTACTGTGTCGAGAAACTGAAATTTCTCTGGTACTGGTATCAACTACTAAAATTTTGGTGAACTCATTTGCAGTATGACCTCACCCTGTTTGCACAGCGAAACCTCATCAGCTTTGTCAGTCTTGCCTTCGCCGTCGTCAGGAATCTTGCTGGTGATGGGGCTGGACACGTAGAGCTTGTTAATGTCCAGCGTGGTCTTGCTGAAAGGGGACATGGAGGAGTACATGCTTGCATAGCCATTGGAGGAACAGCTAAGGGCAGCCAGGTCCAGAGCCTTCCCACCGGTGATGATGGGGATGTTGAGGGACAGTTTGCGGCGGCGGTTGGGGGACGAGGTCTTGGTAATGGCCAGCGGGGGTGGGGAAGAGAACTTGCGGCTGGCACGGGGCGACTTAGGTGGCTCTCCGTAGAGGAGCTTGTTGTTCTGGCTGCTCGCGAAAAACAGCTCCAGGGATCTATGTGTCGAAAGGAGCAGGAGGGAGGGTTGTTAATGACCATGTTGTCTTGATTTAAACCTCCTGAGGCTGTTAAACATGGACATGCAATTTCAGTTTCAAAAATTCAAATTAAATTTAAAGGTGAAATATACTTCCTTTTTTTTTTTTTTTTTTAAGAATGTAATACTAGTACTCAGCAAGGGTGCATTAAATTAATTAAATGTGACAATAATAATGTTTAATGTTTAATATATATTTATTTATTTATTTATTTTAAATAAATGCTGTTCTTTTAAAATGTATATTCATTAAAGAATTCTGAAAGAAATGTATCACAATTTCCACAAAAATATTTAAACTTTGACAATAATAAGAAATGTTTCTCGAGCACCAAATCAGCACATGAAAACTGACACTGAAGAAAGGAGTAACGGCTGCTAAAAATCCAGCTTTGCCATCATAGGAATAAATTACACTTTAACATATATTAAAATAGAATACAGTTATTTTAAATTGTAATAATTGTTCACATTATTACTGTTTTTTAATGTATTTTTGCTCAAAACCTTGCTGAGCATAAGAGATCTTACAGACCCCAAACTTTTGAACTGTACTGTATATATATTTTTTCAATGCTTCTTCAATACTTTCTGTCAATTCCAGCTCAATATGCAGATACAACAAGATAAGGAAGCCATTCAAATGATTTCCCTGAAATAAAATAATAATTAAAAAAAAAAATCACAAAAATTTTAAATTATGATAAAAAAATATATAAATATATATAAAAAAAACTATTATATATTTTTTTCCTGCAGTAAAACATGCTCATTAAATTCAAATGACAAAGACTTTATGTCATTTCATGTGACCAAATGGTTCACTCAGATGATTGGTTGAGCAAATTATTGGTCATTTTGAATGAACCTCAAAGAGCTGTTTGCTTGAAGATCTGTCCAACCAATAGGATCTTGTTTGAAAACACTCATTATTTTCAGTTCAGTCTCACTACAGACATTAAATGACATGCTTCACCTTTACATGAGAGCAGATCTAGAAAACCACCATCGGCACATCACTAGCCTACAAAAAGACAACAGTTACGTATTTGCCTCTCATTGCAGCTCATGATTTAGCTGATAATGGCTTCTCAACGCTGTGTGGTGTGCTCAGGGTATTTGCGCTGACAGAGAAAAGTGTCTCTGCGGAGCATAAACAGCCTACTCTTCACATTTCTCTATAAGGTTGGAGAGCGTTGCAGAGAAGCTTTCCCACACATCGAGCCACCCCTACACGTCATGCCTGCACAGAAATAGACCCACTTATGACAGTTTGGGTGACCGTTGGAGCTGAGGCAGGGCAGCTGAGCGGGGGAGGTCTGGGGAGGCATCACAGCCGTGCAGTCTGCCCAGGGGAGAGTGGGTGCTACAGGCTGTGGGTGTGTGGGAGGTCCCCGGCTCTTACCGATTTGCCTGGATCTCCGTCTCCAGAGCCAACCGGAGGAGGAGATGCAGAAAGCAAGACGAAAATACAGCGCGCATGCGAAAGAGAGAGTGAGAGAGGCTGCGATGGCTGCAAAACGTGCACACTAAATATTTCATCTCGCAGATGCGGCACGGGCGGAGGGTGGGGTCCTGCAGCAGAGTGGCCGGTTGCTAAGGTGATGGCGACAGAGCCCTGCTGAGATGCTTCAGTCAGGCAGGCACGCAGGCGATGAAGCAGGGCCCAATTAATGCTGTTTCCAGCAGAACACACACATACGCGGGGCGACACACATTAGTGTGACCTCTCGCAAGCCTTTAGCAACTCCAGCACATCTCACTACCTTCCCCTTTGACTTTCTCTCTCACTTTTCTCTCCTTTTATCCCATACGTACGCAGACGCTCGCTCGCTCTCACTATAGGGTGACAAACACTGGTGTGACCTCTCTCCTATCAAACCGAACCAATTTTTCTGCTCATTCTCTCACACAAGAACACAAATCCAGCAAAGCAAAGGCCTGGTGCTAAACTAAGAGCTGCATGTGCATTTATATATGTGTGCCAAGATACAAGTCCATCAAACGGCATAAAAAAAGCTGAGAATTAGGGATGGATCATGATAGGTCCTCCAACAACCAACTAAACAGGTTGACTACTTTTTCTAGACTTTTCTTATATTTACAGCACATTCAAAAGTTTGTGTTTAATTAGATTTTTCTTTTTCTCTTTCTTTTTTTTTGGAAATTAATATTTTTTATTCAACAAGGATACATTCAATTGATCAAGAGTGACAGTATATACTTTTATAATGTTATAAAAGATCAAGGTTTTTTGAACGTTCTATTCATTAAAGAATCTTGATCAAATGTATCACGGTTTCTGCAAAAATATTAAGCAGCACAAGTTTTCAACTGTGATGATAAGAAATGTTTCTTGAGCAGCAAATCAGCATATTAGAATTATTTCTGAAAGATCATGTTACACTGAAGACAGTAAAGATTATGGCTACTAAAAATTCAGCTTTGCCATCACAGGAATAAATTGGATTTTAAAATCTATTAAAATAGAAAACAGTTATTTTAAATTATAATAAGTGGATGAGAGGAGAGCAGAGGAGAAATCAGCTGTCAAGTCTGTTTGGCCATTGAGAATGTGGGCCAAAAATTAGAAGTATTTAATGATGATGTGAAGCATTGAAGTGTTTATAATAATTATAATGGACCTACATACTGTACATGTAGAAGATTTAGAATTTCACCATCTCAGTCTTTAAATTCAAAAGTGTTCTAGAGGAATATTGGCATTCCAAAAAACAACAACAACAAAAAAAGTTATGTTATGGGCTATTTTTTTTTTCTTTTTTTGTTTCTGTTTCTATTAGTTCTGGTCTTGGAATTTGATTTGGCATTCCTTGAATATGTTAAAGTCCACTTTTTTTCTTTCTTTTTTTCCTGTTTCCCTTCTTTTTTATTGTCTTTTTAATTTTTGTACATTTTTAATTTGCAAGTTATGTTTACAAAATAATATTGGCTAAAACTAGCATATGTAATATGTACATATGTAATATGTTGTAATAATAATAATAACAACAACAATAATGATAATTATTATTATTATTCTTACCCAATTCTTAACATTATTATCATTTATTTAGATTAATATAATCGTAATAAAAATACTCAAAATGCTAATTATATATATAACTTGAATATAGCAGAAGTCTCAGTATGTCTTGAGTTAACTTTAGTTCTTACTGGAGTGAAACTCTTATGTGCAGAAATGAGACAGTGAAGTGACTAAGAAATGTCTCCCACCCTGTGCTTACAAGCTGACTTCATTTCCCTATAAGCAGCTTTAGACCATGAGGTATTTTTGAGAGGCCCTAGTTCCCTTGCCTAAAGTCATTTGCCCATCACCCATGACATGACAGGTTGGTCTGTATGACCACCAACACCAAAACATTTCTAGTTTTATGTATTTTGATCAACCGTACTGAACCTACTCAAAATCTGGCTTGAGTATAGTGTTTATGTATGTGTCTGAGGCCGCTTGGGGTCTTCTGTTAACATGGCAAGGGAATGGAAATATGTTTCTAAGCTGTCAAAGCTTAAAGGACAGGATTACATGGATCAGTGAGAGAGACAAACAAACAGACAAAATTGAGCTTAATTTAATGGAGTCAATCATCTCAGAACAAGCTTCATTTGTCACTTGTGGGTGTGTGAGAGAGGGAGGAATAAGACATGATATTAGCTTATTTTCTCACAAATTTTGCCATTGAATCATGATGCCAAACTTTGTAAATGTCTTAATTTTATGGCATGTCTGCGTTTCTAAACACTAAAGATTTTGTTTGTAGCTGAGACCACAGACTTGGTCTCAAATCTCAAGTTTTCAAGTCATGTTTTAAAATTTACACTGTTACTGTGTCTTCCAATGCCTGATTCATTTGTTGCATATTTTAAGGTAGGTTTCACTGAAATTCTTCTTTGAAAGCTTTCTCTATTAAGTTTTACTCAGTATTTACTCCACCCTGAGTCATCAAAATTAGTCCAGGCCGTGAGTCTGTTGACAAGTCAATATCTACAGAGAATCTTTTGACCGTCAAAGGACTGAAGTAAGAGTTTGTGATGATTGTCGAAAAGCTACTCAGAGCCCATCCCTGAAAAGCCACTCTGATGAGTAGATGAACACAAACCTTTCATGGTAGAGTTTCAAAATGTCCCTCCTAGCGCTGTTGCTGATGACTTCTTGGAAATAACGCAGTATAGACCATCGAGTCTTTAATAAATCAGCAATGAGGGCAAATTACATCCACAAAGCAACTTACAAACATTTCTTATTTTGGGAGGGGTGCTGTTGAATGATCATTATCTAATTTGAATTGTCTTTCTTATGCACAGTGGTGGTTGCTTCAAGACCGCAGGGGCTTCCCCTAAAATGTAAAAATATCAAAAAATATGTAATGTCATTTATGAATATATAATGTCACTGAGAACCTCTTGAGAGCTTTATGCATTGTTGACAGCACTTGTAATTTAAAAGCACCACTATACATGGAATGCTTGGAGATAGATCAAACAATAAATGGAAGTCTGTTGTGGCTCATAAGGCATTTAAGTCAGTTTGTAAAAATATGCTTTATTGGTCAGTTTGAAAAGACACTTTTAGGTGCAGTACTGCAGATACACATAAAAAGCATCAAATAGATCTTAAAGTGCTTCCTAACTCTTGAAAATCCTTTTTTTTCTATATTCACATATTATGTCACATTTTGTATTATTACGTTAAGATCTTTTATATTACTATATTTATATTACTGTGAGGGGTTCTGTTTGAAAAGTTAAATAAGACAACATATTTGATATTTAAATCATTTTAGGAATCAGGGAGGGGAACTTTATGTTTCTCTGCTGTGTTTCAGTGTCTTGGAAATTAGCTCCATGAGCTCAGTGAAACATCTTCATGTGAAATACTTGATGTAATGCTCAAAGTACATACACATAGCCCTGACAAAATACAACAATTCAATCTGTGTGCAGGTTAGGAAAAGAAAATGTGTTTATCATGTACTCACACCTTCAAAATCATTCATGCACACAGATTTCAGTGTATTGACTGAATGGAGTTATCTCATATTTTCCCCAAATTACCGGTCCCTTATGAACAGATGACTTTTGAAAAGGTTCTCCTATAGTATCATCACTCATCAGTTACACTGTATTTTAATCTTAATCATCTGAATGGTGTGGTTCCCATAGACACACTTGCATACAGTGGATTCAAAACCAGTGAACAATTGTTGTCCTTAGCCAGATTTAAATGAATGTAATTGGTTGTTAACCCTGCGTTTGGGGAATGTTAGATATATTGCTTCTCTGGAAGGGTGTCAAAGCCTGAACTAGAGGTCAAAGAAGCAGACAGGATGGTGTCAGTGGAGTCACTATGGTTATCTCTGGTCACCCTCCCCTAAATCACAAAACGATATCCCTCACAGTACAAGCTGCTGTAATTTAGCTGAGGACACTAATTTGGATGACCTTTGCTTCACCCTTTAGTTCTTGAAAGGGATACTTCAAAGACTTATATATATATATATATATATATTTAAAAATATAATATTTCAGCCTTTTTTAAGAAGTAAACAAATTACTGAGAGCACCTTTAAGAAGGCATGTCAACTTTTAAAACCTGCATTTCATTTAATTCTTGCTCTATTCAGCTGTTTTTGAACACAAAAACGCCATAAATATTAGCTAAACATATCCCAAAAGCAGCCTTGTCATAAAGGGCTTTCTTAAGACTGACTAGTCAACTACAAAACGCCATGCTGCTTTATTCAGTCGGCTTTATTCTAACATGTAAGTATGACGTTTTACTTAATCTTAAACTTAATCAGTATTGTAGACTGTAGACTGTGCTGAAAACAACACTCTTGCTACATGCTACTATGCACATGAGAGCAGTTTACAGTTGTCATCTCTGTGCTTGTCAAGCTGATCAGACTGCCATTTGCAACAAAAACCTCTGTAATCTCATTTTCTGTATTCCAAAAAAAAAAAATTATAAAAACCAGACATGTGGCTCACCGGGCAGGTATGGCGCTGATAGGCTTCTTGTATATGGTGATGAGTTTGTCAAGGACTACGTCTGCGCTGGTGAACACACGGTAGGAGTGCAGGAAGGTGTTGAGGAAGTCGATGGAGAGGAAGCGCAGGTCGGTCAACCTCTCCAGCAGGCGTTCCACGCTGGCATAGCGGATCTGCAACACCTTACACGAGTTCATCATCTTACTGAAGCGGATGTCCACGTCATCACAGTACAGACTGGCATCAGACCTAAACATGTGACACAGATTATAAGATGTTATTTACATATTTACAAAGTATCACTATTATGTCTCATTTTTCACCCCTGTTGTCTACATATTTGTTTCAGTATCTGACATTAAAGGGGCCATTAGCCAGCCATATACAAGGCAGGCAGTAAGCTCATTGGCTGCATATGCAGCATGAACCAATCAGCTTGTGCCAAGTCGTTTAACTCTATGAATATCATCAGCTACGTTAACACCCCGTCAGAATGCGCCATCTAGAGTTTCATGACTGAACTATATATATATATATTTCAGCCACTAGCAACAATCACATTTTAGATCAAATGAATACTTTTGTAATACTGTATGCAGCCTTGCAAAGTTAGAACATGCTCATGTATTAAGCTTCTCAAAATGTGTCAAGTGCCATTAAAATACAAAGTTGATGTATGACTGTGAATAAAAAAACAGGCTGATCTACTTAATGCAGAAACTGACTATGTTTTATAGACATTTACTAACATTTCTATGTTGGAAAAGCATAGTTACTTCCAGTGTGAGAAGAAGTGCTTACTTGATCATCTGGGGCACAGTGACTTTAGAGTTCTCCTCAAAGGCGTTCATCATCAGCCCATTACAACGAATATTATCTATGCACTATAGTAAAGAGTGAGAGAGAGAAAGAGAGAAAAAAAGAGTGTGAGGACAGTATTTGAACCACAGGACGCGAGTAAAAGGCGAAGGTCTTGCCCAGGGCTGTGTGGATCACTCAGTGTTATCTGATGTGAGCAGACATGCCTGGCTGATGTCACTGGTCCAGGCTGACTTCTCTTGTCGCGAGGAGGCCACCAGGATGATGGTGAAGGACTGGCTGTCTTTGGGCTCCACCACAATCTTAAAATCCAGGTGCTCCATGTCCTGACCGCTCTTGTCTGACTTGGCTGAAGAGAAAAATGATAACTTAGTGAGCCTCTGGAATAAATCTCGTGGAGGTCTGTTGTGATTAGATTTGTGGTCCGATCTACTTCCATAACATGTCCATATCAGTGGCAACTGATGCTTCTCAAAAGCGGGTAAGTACAGAGGTCTCTTATCAGTGTCAAAATGTCAACTCTCTTTTGTTATTGCAGATATTTTATGGTACGCTTAAGATTAAATCAAGAGTTTTGATACGTACACTCGTCATCTGTGCCCTCTGGTTCCTCTATCAGTGTGCAGTCAATGAGCGACACCACTCCATTCTGCCATCCAGAGACAAGTAACAGTCAGACATGCTCTGAGAATCTATCAAATAATCAATAGCAGCCGTACTAAAACAGTGATTACTGTGAGGATCTCCTTCTTGAATTTCCCTAAAGACCAAGAGCAATAGTGGCTCACTGAATGTGGTAAAATTAGCTGAAGGTGGTAATCACTTTTTTCTGGGCACAACATAACATTTCACTGGTTTAACAACATACCAGATACATAAAAAAATCATCCTCTGAGAAATTAAGAAACATTGTATAAAAATAAATAAATAAATAAATAAATAAAATTGAAAAATTATCTGAATTATATGTCTCTATAAATAGTTGAAGGCATATTTCAAGTGTTTTTTTTATATTACAAGAGGTAATTCTGCTTAGCCTGTGACAGCACATATTTTAATATGATACCATACTACACAGTACATGGTGTATAGATAAAATAAATAAAATATTAGAAAGGTTAAATTAGGTTTAAAAACAGGTTTTAAAATATTTTGAAAAAGTTAATAATATGCTGGTCATTCATCAAAACATTATTATTATTGTTGTTATTTAATTAATTGATTAATTAGATAATTAATATTCTATTCTATTATTTTATTTCTAAGTGGAAATGCATATTTAGCATAATTTTATTATTATTATTATTATTATAGTCTATTAATGTCATGTTATATTACATTTATTTTATTATATTTCCATGTGGCAAAGTGAATTAAAACCTTATAAAATCCAATAAAAGTTACTTAATCTAAAAAAATATTTCTAAAAAGGTGATAATTTGTTGGTCATTCTTTAAAAAAATTATTATTACAAATTATTAATAATACTATTAATATAATAATAATAATAATTATAATAACATTTTATTAAAAAAAATAATTTATTCTATTGATTTTAGATTGTTTTTATTATTATTATTATTATTATTTTATTACATTTTAATGGCAATGTCTATTTTTGCAAGTTAATTGAAAATCTAACAATTCTAAGTTACTTCATCTCCTAAGAAAATAATGAAAACAGGTTTAAACACATTTTCAAATGTTTTTTTTTTTTTGTTGTTAAACAATGATATTACTCTTAAAAGAAACCAAAAATAATAATAATAAAGTTTCACTGAATCTGAAATTAATTTGCGAGAATTTTTATTTTATTTTAGTTAGCTTTGGAGTTATGAAAATATAGTTTAATTATATTTATATAACTAAAACATAACTATGTAATTTTTTGTATATTGCATATTTTAATATATATTTTAAAATATATTGTACTAATAAATTTCACGCTACATTTTCAAGACTCTAAAACTAAATAAAATAAAATATAATGGCCATATATTAATTTGATCAATTTATATATTGCATACTTTAAAATATAGTATATTAATATATTTTTAACCTACATTTTCATGACTCCAAACTGCATAAAATCAAATAAAATGGCAACAAATGTATTTTATTATTTGCATATTACATATTTTAACAAATATATTAAAACATATTATATTAATATATTTAAAACTATATTTTCATGTCTCCAAAAATAACTAAAATCAAATAAAAATGGCCACAGATTAATTTTAGTTTTAGACTCGACTTCATTAAACATGAAAATGCCACTAGATAATACTAGCAATAACACTAGATAATAAATTTAAGAGAATGTCACTTAAATGATAATGATACATTTCAAATGATAAATTTAAATGATATAATTTAAGACACTAAGTTTGACATTAAAAATACTAAAATACTAAATAAACTGAAGCTATAAAACACTGTAAACAATTATAGAATAAAAACTAAAATGACATGGTAAACTAAAAATTAAATATATATATATATATATATATATATAAATTCAAAATCCTGTCTTCAAATGTGATTCACATACTCAGAAGTATTTGTGGCATTATCAAACCACAAATAGTCAAACAAATGGACTGGACAAACAAATAGTCCTGCCTCAAACTGGCTCCATGGTATTGTGTTCAGTCCAGACGGGCTGCGCAGTCAGACTGCAGTTCCATTTGGTGCCAATAGTGGTGAGGAAATTACACTCTTTAACTTCAGATATAGCATTTAGCAATTGATTTGATTTTATGATCTGCTTTTAGGAGCAATTTATAGCTTCATTCAGCTTCTTTTTCCTGAATGAGCCCCATAACCTGTGAGTAGTGAGAAATGATGTAGCGATTCTGATTAAATGTGTTGGAGGCACATTTTGATGTACCTGGAAAGTTCCTCCAGCTTTGACTTGGCGTAATCCAAGCTGTTTCTCTCCACATGCTCATGCGGTGTATGCGCTAACAGCTCATGGAGGGTCAGTATGTAACGAGGAATCTGCCAGACAAGCACATGTCATAATGTCAGACAGGAGGGTAGTTTTCAATTTTTTTTGCCTTCTGCTGCAAACACACTCATCATACCCACACTTAGTCATGTACACGCATGGAAATCCAAACAAAACTTCATTAACTGTGTGCACTGTATTTCTTGCAGAGGAGGCTTAGAGGGGAGCTCTATCACTCATCAGCACATTTATTACCAACGCTGCAAATCCCAAAGTAGACCTTGCTGGACTAGATCACATGGAAACTGCTTACAGTACAAGAAAAAAGCCATTAGACCAGAATACACTACAAAACCCTAATTTAAGGGACTAAAAAAGCACACGAGGACCTGCCATGTGCTACCACGCAGCACTCTATTAGAGCTTGTGATTGATAGCATGGTAACCATAAAAAATGAGAGCCTGAATGAAAGATTATGGTCACCTGGAACATGGGGTAAGTGAGGAACGTCTCCAGCGTGCGCTCCTCACAGTCAGGCTTGGCTTCATACTGTTTAAGCAGCTTGTCAAAGTCACGGTTCTGCTTGCAGTGGGCCAGGATCTGCAAACTGTACTGGTGGTTACGTACAAACTCCTGGTAGATGTTCAGCATGGGCAACAGGATGTCAAATAGGTCGGCTGAAGGACAGGAAGGAAGATTAAAATCAGTGTGACTGGGCCTCAGATCTGTGGCACCTTTTGAAAAAGCCAGCTTGCAATTTGAGGGGTTTACAGAATGTTCTTTGCTGTTGGTTGCCAAACGCTCTGGCAGTGCACTCACCCAATACTAATGTTGGCCAGCTTGCTATTCGAGCTTTCAACCCTTGGTAGAATATCTGATGCAGAAACATTATGGTTTCACTGCAAAAAAACAAAAACAAAAAACGGACATGTAAACAACAATGTAAGTGTTTCATTGTTCCTGTAAGATTTTTAAAATCGTTTTGAAAGAAATCTTTTGCTGTATGCTCACCAAGGCAGCATTTAAAGTCAGTAAAGTCAGTTATATTTTTATATTATTACAATTTAAAATAACAGTTTAATATAAAATGTAATAACATTAAAATATAACATAAATTATAATAATACCATATATTTTAAAATGTCATTTATTCCTGTGATGGCAAAACTGAATTTTCACCAGCCATTCAGTGTCACATGATCCTTCAGAAATCATTATAATATGCTAAATTAGGATTTTTAGGATTTAAAATGTCAGGATTCTTTGATTTACAGAAAGTTTATTTCTAAAAAAAAACAACAAAAAAAACCAGCATCTATTTGAAATAGAAATCTTTTGTAACATTATAAATGTCTTTGACACTTTGGATCAATTTCCAGTGAAACAATGTTTATATTAAAGACAATAAAAACAAATATAGTGAATGTAACCCTGTAGGCTATGCTATATATTATGTGCAAAAACATTGTAACATTACAATCTACAAACAAAAATGATGCTTTTTAATGCAGAAGTTAAATTCACTAAACTAAAAATGAAAAGAAATAAAAACAAAAGTACAGATTAATTGCATTATATTTTGATTACCCCATTACAATAGTCACTTTACAGTTACCACTATCATAAAATACACTTACTTGTAGGTTTAAAATTATACACATGGCACATTTATTGTCCAACTATTTTAGTCAGAATTATTGTGCTCTATTACTGACCCCAAACTTTCGACCAATTGCCTCAGATGTTTCTCTTAAAATTGCTTGGAAGAAATAAAAAATAAACATAAATGAGACAATTGTTGACAAAGTAAAAGTACAAAGCTATAAAATTAATGTGGATCCCCAAAGCTCAGATAATTTGATCTGGGAAGAAACTGAGTTTGAGTTCAAACTTTAGAATTTGGTATTTGACAAATCTAAGCTCAGTGTGAGACATTGCTGAGATCTCTTCTAATTCACTAGACAAGATACACAGACACAATTATTGGGGTCTTTTCACAGAAGAAACATCTGAGAAGTAGGAGACATCTAATCACATTGTTGTTGTTATTCAACAATATCAATTGAGATATTCAAATGAACTGAAATGAAATGTTGAAAGGTTTCTTTCCTCTGTGCATGCAAATCCTGCTAAACATGAGGGTTATTTCTGGCTGGAACTGGTGTTTACCTGTTGAGGAATATGCTGCTGACATCATCATGAGTTATGGGCGGTTTTTTGGAACTGGCAGCCATGCGAAGCGGTCTCAAGAAGTTGTTGACAAGGATGTGGAGTTGTTGGACGTACTCAGCCTCTGCCTCCAGCATGCTAAAGACAACTTGGTTCCTCTTTCTCATGCTCTCCGCATGTGGCGAACGGATGTAGTCCTGAATGATGGTCTTCCACTTTCGCCGACACATCCAACCCCTCAAGAAGCTTTGTACCTGATGCAGCAGTATTAATAAGAATCAATCAATAAAATCAATAGATCTGAACTAAGTAAACACGAAAAACTCATCAAAAAATATCTTGACCAATCATGAAACGTAAGACACTTGCTCTGTTCCAAAACCCAGCTGCATTTTAAGTCATCATAGTTGTTTTCAATGTGAAGCTTATTTTAAAACGTTGGAAGCATTTTTTAGCATTGCAACGAGCTCAGTGAAAAAAAAAAGCAAGATGGATGACGAGGTGAGTGGTTATAAATATTTAAATATATAAATAATTCACTTACTGTATATTTGAATAAATATTGAAAATTATCCATAGAAATATGTATTGATTTCATCCAATATAGAGTTGTGGTCATAAATTTACAAACAGTACACCTTGCAGAATCTGAAAAATGTAATAATAAAAATCGCTTGTTTTAATTTAGTACTGCCACGAATAAGCAATTTCACATAGCAAATGTTTATACCTATAGTCCACAAAACTAAATTATACCTAATTTAAACCTAAATTAATAAACAAACAAAAACAAATGAAATCAGTCACTTATGTGGTTCTATGACAGTTAGGATGCTACCTATGTAGGCAGCTCACTAGGTTTTGGACTAGAGCTGTGTAATTCAAAGCCAAAGTCTTACTTTCTTGATTTTATTGATTTCTGAATCATCATCGCTAGGAGCAGTGGTGGGATTCGACTGAATCTTCTCATTGTCTTTGAGCATTGCTGCAATCTGCAACAAAACAGAGATAAAAATGGCAGAGTCAACACTTCCTTTGAAAAAAAGTTCCTTCCCTCACTACTTCCCAGCATGCTGACAAAGTGATTTAGTCAGGCCAAATCAGTGCCAGCACAGTGTGGCACAAACACTCGCCCTATCAAAGCTCTCAGAAGCTGCTCGGGTATTTTCAGATGCTTAGGGTCCACAAACTTTCAAATTATTACATGGCCCTGCAATTTGAAAGGGAAACATTGGGGACACAAAAGAGACGGGAGCTAGCCAGCACAGTCTGTATGTGAGTACTCCATTTATTGGACGCGGACTGAAAGAGTTTATTATGCTGCGGACCAAGGATGCGACTCACACAATACATCTGGGGTCATGCATATTCAGCACACCATTTCATACAGCCAGCTCCATTTGCACTTTAAAGTAAAATGACTATTTGATCTGGCTGATGAAGTATACAGCAGGGATCATAGTTCTCCTGGAGAGCCGTTTTTTATGAGCAGAGATGCAAAGTGAAGTGCAAAGTAGTCTAGAGAAAGCTCTTCAAAACCAAATGCTTCTCACACCACTTTTCATTCTCTCTATCCTTTTCCTTTTCAGAAAAGAAATGAGCATGTAATTTGGGTCACGATAATTGACTAGTCATCCAACAACTGACTAGTCGATTTGAAGGGCAGACATTGTTTTGTGTGTGTATATGCACTCTTTTAATATTAGTTACAGTAAATTATTGTTCTTGTTTTGCAGACTAATGGCTCATGGTACTAGCTTAGCACACCATTAGTCAATTAGCCAAAAATCTTAAATTCTACATTTTCATTCACATAAAGTGTGTCCGAAATCGTGTACTGTCCTACATTTGAATTTGAATTTACTTTGCGACCGTTAAAAAAGTATGTTCTACATAGTAAGAATTTGGGTAGTATGAATGAAATTCGGACATACTACATCCGCCATGTTGTTACTGTCACATGACCTACATGCGTCAGTTGCGTCGCTTCACTGCCATTCATAAATCCTTTCCTGTGGCCTCATGGGATAGTAAAGTGTCCATCAAATGGGCACTTCAGAATCCGGGAGAAAGAAGTAGGTCATCCGGGTACTTTTTGCCGACTGTTTTTCGTATGCTATGAATTCGGACATACTACTCGCCTCACATACTGTTTTTCACATTCTATATAGTAGGGAAGTATGCGATTTTGGGCGCAGGGATTGTGTTTCTGTTTGATCAGGCATTACAAACTGCCACCCCACACTTTAAAAATTAAAGTAAAAACCTGTTAATTTGTTAACTGTAAGTTACCTTACTTTAGCAAAACTGTAAATGGTTTAAAATGTAACATTTATGGTTTTTGGAGCTACAAACTGGTTATCTGTATATTTTAAAGTAAACAGCAGATTTTGACAGAAGTAGATTGGTATATTAATATTATATGACTTTATTGTTTTATTGTCAAATTTATTAAATTTAGGGTAAAATATACGGTACCAGTATGCCATCCTGCAATACCTAAAACACCTTGTCACCATATATTTTATATTTTATTTTTTGCCAGAATTTCTGGCAACCACAGCTGCTGTTTTTTTTGATAAACCTTTATAATATATTCTGTATCAAAACATAAAATTAATTTGTGTTATTTAGTTGTTATTTGAAAGTTCAAATGTATTTTAGTTTAAGTTTTTCCAATTATACTAGTTTTTATTTTTTAATTCACTTATTTCATAATGCCAGTAATAACCACTGCATTATTTTCAATTCTGTTGTGCAAACACATCTTATGTAAACCATGTGCAGGTGAACCTGAAACCAACCTTTTTATACGGGACTTCCTTAAACAAGTTGACTAGCTGTTCAAACAGTGCATCTACTATTTAGTTTTGCACTTATTTCCCAGACAACATTTTCACTTCAGAGAGATAGAATCAACTTGATATGCAGTAAAATTGCTGATATATTCGACTGGATTTTGGCATGTTCACTATAGATAAACAATCCCTACTGCACTTTGAATTACAAATTTTACCTCTGATTTTAGACGTTCAATCTCAATCTCCCCATCTTCTATCTGTTGTCGAAGTTGCTTAGCAACTGTTTTCTCGGTCTCCACGATTTGGAGTAGATGGAGGTACTTCTGCATGAGTGTTTCATGCTCGGTGGCCAGGTTTCTGTAGCTGCACACAGAACACACACACACATGTTGGTATTGGTGGTTTACGGGGACTCTCCATAGGCATTATGGTTTTATACTGAACAAACTGTATTTTCTATCGCCCTACACCAACGCTAAACCTACCCCTCACAGAACACTTTGTGCATTTTTAGATTTTCAAAAAAACACCATTTAGTATGCCTTTTAAGCCTTTTGAATTACGGGGACACAGGTAGTGTCCTCATAAACCACCTTGATATTGTAATACCTGTGTCATACCCATGTCATTATACAAATTTGTAAATGAGGAACATCACGTTATACTAGAAATAAAGCTCATTAGCAGAGACACAGTGTTAACACGTAACCCCATAAGCACACACTTTATCAGAGCAAAACTGTGAATGCTCAAATTCAACAATTAAACAGAATTGTTGGAGCAGCGCTTATCTCAAAACAGCAAGCAAATCCAGACGCCTTCATGTTTATGCACACAGATTTAGAACTGCTGCAGGGCATCCAGAGATAAACAGCCAAAATAGTCCTCCAGTACAGACTGAGACCAGAACGGAGCACCAGCCGCCCTCATCACAAACACAGACCTGCTCTTCGGAACCACTTCTCCTTAAAAATAAACTAGACCTTCTGATTATGAAAGAGTATCTTTTGAGCGTATATTATTTAATACCTGCAAAACTTGTATGTTAAGCTGTTAATTATATCTGCTGTTACTTAATTGGTAAAATAATCAAATGCATGAACCACACATATAGTCCAAACATACACTATCGTTCAAAAGTTTGGGCTTGATAAGATTTTTTTTATGTTTTTGAAAGAAGTCTCGTATGCTCACCAAGGCTGCATTTATTTGATCAAAAATACAGTAAAAAAGCATTAGTATCGTTAAATGTTATTACAATTTAAAATAAATATTTTCTATTTGAATACATTTTATAATGTAATTAACTCCTGTGTTGGCAAAGTTTAATTTTCAGCAGGTATTACTCCAGTCTTCAGTGTCACATGATCCTTCAGAACTCATTCTAATATGCTGATTTGGTGCTCAAGAATTTCTTATTATCAATGTTGAAAACAGTTGTGCTGCTTAATATTTTTGTGGAAACTGATACATTTGAAGTATTCTTTGATGAATACAAAGTTCAAAAGAACAGCATTTATTTGAAATAGAAATCTTTTGTGATGGAAAATGTCTTTACTGTCACTTGTGATGGAATTAATACATGCTTGTTGAATACAAATATTATTTTCTTTCCAAAAAAAAAACAAAAAACAGCAAAAAACATTGAAACATTGTAGTGTATAGTGTCTTAGTAGTGACGAAAGAAATAAGTGACGTAAATTAGTCAAAGAAGTGACGAAAGTCACTGATAATATGGATGTGTTTAGAAATTTCATATTATAGCATGCTTTTTAGTGCTATTGCATCAAAATGAAGAGCAAATAATCATGGTTAGGTGTCTTATTAAAGCTGACAAAAAGGATGATGGGATATGCAGTTTTGTAACACAGACCTCATTAACCTGTAGTGTATTTTATCAAGCTTTACTGCTAGTATACATAAAATGTTAAAAGTTTACAAACTAAATTGCATAGTAAACAATCAAAATTACATCTTATTATGCTAATGCGATATGCTATTATTTTCTTCCACTATGATTCTCAAAACTCAGAAAGTCTTGGTTCAAAGAAAATCCTGATATGGTTGTGTCAATTCATACAACAACGCTCACACAAAAAGACTAAGAAAACTACTAATCACAGTAATAAACCAACAAGTCAAAACCATTATCTGATCTGATTATCTGTTTCGTTTTTAGTTTAAGTGCAAAAATGCACAATTCTTTCACCTTATTAAACAATTGGATATATTTTTGAAACGGTATATTGTATATGAATGTACAGTATTTCTCTTAACAGGGTTAACCCTTTATGCCTTAACTCTCACATGAACATAAACAAACTGAAAACATATCAAAATGCACATTTGTCCTTGACTGCATTACGGCTCTTTGTTATTAAAGGCACAACATGTTGTGCTTTGTTTGTTAGTGCCCAACAGAGAATTCAAATTCGAAGTTCATTACTAAAAACAAACAATATTCCCAACAGAACCTCTGCAACATCCAAGACTGCTTAAACAAGCTTCAGGCTAATTATAGATAATGAGATAATGGAATCTGTCCACTTCGCAAAAAAAAATCCTCCTCTTCATTTATTTTCCCCCTTCACATTAAACTGTGTGAATGGATGAGTATATGGAGCATAAACTAAAGCAGAGAATCCCGCCATTATATGAAGACAGTCTTCTTTTCTCTGTAGGCAAGTTCTTGTCTAAATCAACTCATTCCTAAGCACATCCCAACAAAGCGGGAAAAAACGTATAAGGACTGAACTTACAGGATTTGGATATAAATGCACATAAATGTATATTTCTGCAAAAAATAGAGCATATGCATAACCAAAACAGGCTACAGTAGCAACAAACATGGTAATTTAATCTATTTTCCTTCCTGTCCACTGAAGTAGACAACAGTATATAGGATTTTTTTTTTCAAATTTCACTGAAAGAGTTTACTTACCTGGCATGTGATATTGCTGCCACCCATTCATCGCAGTCCTTAACATCTTCTGTACGAAGCTCCAGAGCCTTCTGATTCTCATGGCTGAAGCTGACTGTGAAATAATACTGTAATACAGAAAGAATAGAAATGCATTTTAACTATAATACTACACAAAAAATCTCATTAACTACAGTGATGGATGAAATATGAGCCAGTCAGAGTTTATCTTAATCACCAATAAATACAAACATAAAAAAAGAAAACAAAAAGATGGTGTGTAATATATTTCTAATTTTTTATTTAGTATATTTAAAAATATTTGTATTTAAATATTTTATATTAAAATTATTCCTGTGATGGTAAAGCTAAATTTTCAGAAGCCATTACTCCAGTCTTCAGTGTCACATGATCCTTCAGAAATCATTCTAATAGGCTTCTTATTATCAAAGATTTTTTGTTATCGATATCGATGTTAAAAATGCTTAACATTTTTTATTGAAACCGTGATACATTTTTTTTTTAGGATTTTTGATATATAGAAAAAAAACAGCATTTATTTAAAAACCAGAAGGTCTCTCAAATTCACTGAGGCCCTGTGAATTTGAACTGCATTGGGCATTCCAAGAAACTGATGACAATTAGCACAAATGAATAAAAACCATGTTTAAATAAGTCTTTGTGCAGTGAACAGCATTTTTTGACAGTTTTGAATGTGGCATTTCAATGAATCTTCCAGTAAAATGATCAGCAGCCCAGCATCTCAGGATGGTACAACATAAAATATGAACAGGAAAATCCTTTGCATATGCAAATACGACACAGTATTCCATGCATAACCTCACCAAGAACACGAGAAATAATTAACTGCGTGCTTCCACCTCCCTGATTTTTCGAACTGATGACTGAGAAGGCACGAAGAGTTCAATGAACACAGAAAGGATCTGCTGGGTCTGAGTGGATGTGCCAAGGGAAACTTCCCTGTGCCTGAGATAGCTCCAGTTCTCCAGAGGAATACCATAAAACATGTAAACTGGGAGCATGGCACATTACATAACTGTATGCCACCTGTTACCTAGCAACTCTGTGCACTAGTGGCTATGGCTCTGTATGTGCTACCCGTTTCTCTACATTTCAGAAGGCCAGGCCTTAGCACTGAATCCCCAACAACCTCAATTTCTGCTGCACGGCAGACCTTCAAGACGCCTTAGCGCTGCTAAATTACATCACAGTCATTTGTCTCATACAGTGAAGACCCACTGAAAGCAGGAAACAAGTGATTGAGGGTGCAAATGCACAGATCCCTATAATATATTTGGCAAACAGTACTTAACTTATTATTCAAATAAAAGACTTGAATGGGCATCTCAGTGTTGTTTCTCTCCGTTTCAACACATTTAACCATACGTCAATCAATTCTTCAGATTTCTGCAGATTTTTCCATACAATCCATGCATGAAATGTAAAAAATTCTAGATGGTCTAGTAGGTCTGTCCATTATTTAAAAATCCAAGTCACAAAATAACATGTAAGATCTGAACTGACTTCAAATGACTTCAAGTAACCATTTTAGCTAAACTATACATAAATACATTATATCAGATTTCAAAGATCATACAAAAGACTAAACGTATTTGTCAATGTCATCCAGTTTTCTTCTACAGTGCCATAAACAACCAAACCTTCACAAAGCTTCACCGTAACAACTTTAATGATCAACTTTACTACTGTTGCTGTCTGCCACAGATAGGGTTGCCAACTGTCCCGTATTAGCCGGGACATCAAATATATTGGGCTTAATTGATGTGTCCCTTACGTGACCTCCATTGTCCCGTTTATTGACTGCTACGCTGCTCTAACCACTGATTGATACAACAGCAACAGCAGTGCTGATCACGACACTTGACTTGAGAATGATCACAGATACCTGTCATCATCCAATCACAAATTGTGTGTGTGTGTGTGTATATAAATATATATTTTTAAAAGCCCAATTTCACAGTTCTCAAATTCATTCATGTGTAACATTCTATAAAGCTTGACTGAGAGAGCATGAGCAACTAAAGTGGGCGGGGCTTAACAAACAGTCAATTGTTGTTGATCGCAGGTGCATTTAGGGATTGATCACGTTTACTGCACCAAGCAGTGAATAATTGGAATGAAGGCTAAAAGTCTGTGGTCGACATGAAATCACTCAGTAACCATTATCAGATGTTCAAGGAGTGGGACCTTATGTTTTGATTGTAGACATTTTATGAAGCTCAGTACCATATAATTCACAGATCTGAACCAAAAACAAATCTGCAAACCAACAAACCTTAAAAATTCCCATCTTTACAATCAATAAGCATCCAGTGCCCATTCCAATACTGTTTTCCATCAGTGCTGCCCAGCTGATGTCTTAGAAAAATGAAATGCTTATTAAAAACACTGATAATGAATTAATGGTAATTATATGCCTTTTAAATTGCCCATATACGTTCATCCTGCATGCTGATCTTTTACACATATGTCATATTGTTAAAATTCTCACGGTTGAAGTATGTGGTTTCTTTTACCTTTTCCTTTCCATATTTTCCTTTCTTTCAACTTACAGCTGAGTCATGAATATTCACACACCTAACTGACTCATATATGCTTTTGAGTACACACACACACACACACACACACACTAAACATAAATTTTTCTATGTGTGATCAATCAAGTGCGTTTCGCTTTCACAATGAAACACACAGCGTCACACACGGCGGGCTGGAGTGAGCGGCGGCCGGCAGGCTTGAGTAAGCGGAGGCCGGCGGGCTTGCGGCAACCACATTTGACAACCCCGGGCTGGACTCTGCTTCATCCATGGTGAAAGCCGATCCGGCAATCCATAGCGCGAAGTTGATGTATTTCCTCAGCGACTTGATTTGGGAGGTGTTATGCAAATCTTCCCACATCGTGACATAGACATGTGGGGGCGTGTTAGAATGAGCCATTTTGATTCTTAACTTTTATAAAGAATATCTCTTTGGATTTGAGACTTTAGTCTTTGCAACTTTACAGATCTTCTTTATGCACCAAGAGCTTGTAACACTCCAAAGAGAAAGGAAAAATTGAAATCGCATCATATGACCCCTTTAAAATCACAATATGGAGAACAATGTTAAAAATGTTTGCATAAATTGTTCACAAAACCCATTAATTACAGTATAAACCAGCAATAGCAAACCAAATGTGCTCCAAGCCTACAAATTAGAAAACTTTAACTATTACAAAATCAGATAATGGAGCATAAGTTGCTTCAAATAAAGGATATGACATTCAAAAATGATTGCTGTTATCTTTAAGCAGTCTGCGTAAACATAGTAAAAGAACTGTAAATAACACATTATGAAAAAGTTGCTGTATATTGTTTGAATTCAGACAGGTCCTTTCACATTCTTTCATCAGACACCCATTTATCCCTATTCTGCGACCTGTAACCTGTCACGTCAGCCTTTGCAGTGAACCATGGTTTTGGGAAAGGTAATGGCCTGTAAAGGTATAAAAGTTTACCACGATGACTGTTACAAGTCAAATCCATAAGGCACACCCTTAGGAAGATATGCTCTATTTTTTTTGCATCGTTCTTCATGTTCCCACACCTCTGTATAGGACACATTTTATTTTGTCAGTGAGCACTAATGCAAGCGCAATCTGCAAGGAGACCAAAATAGCAAACATCAGTAAGTCTACATGCATGCTCATTCTGTTGAGTTGCAAAAATGAAGCTGTTCCCAAAAGGAAGATGAGTGTTTTGCTATAAATGGGCCCTGACCCCTCAGAGGTACTGAACAGAACAAATTTAGCCCAAACAGCGTTAGCATTAATGAAGGAGGCGCAATGCACTGCTACATGCTCCCACAACACACACACACCATCTCTCCAACCACTCTTTTTCTCATGCAAATAGGAGTTGCCATAGGAACCATGGGCTAAAATGCAGATATATTAAAGAAGGGCCAATAAATTAATGGTAGAGCAGAGTGATTGGTATGTAAATATGACGACAATGAAAGGAAAGGTAGTGGGATGGTTTTCAATAAAACACAAATTTGTGTTGAATACACCAGTACGCAGATTGCCCAAAAGCACCTTTGTGCTGAGTAAGTGTTTTTTTAGATTAGAAAATAGCATCTAGAAACACCGCAATCCAAAAAAAAACAAAAAACAAAATTTTATTAGAAATTAAAATGGATGTGGGGACCGGCCTGCAAACTATATAATATGTGCATCCCACAGTGAATTGGGTAGATTTTTTTTTCCCTAAAAAAGGAAGTAAATATACACCTGCACACCTGTGTAGCACCAAACTCTAGATTAATTAGAGCGTCCCACTTTTTGCTCCTGTTTCTGTGAGTTGGCACTCCTGGAGAAAGAGACTGTATAATGCTAAATATGAATATGGAACAAACACTACATTAAGGGGCCATTTACACGACAACGGCCCTGTCCCAAATGGAACACTTCATGTGCACTTGCAGTCTTACAGACTTACAATGGCCGCCGCGTGCGCGTGTCTGTTAAGTCCACAAGACCGTAGAGTGTCCCATTTGTCATTTTAGCGTTCAGAAGGGTGCTCGTGAGCGCCCCCTTTTGCGGCCGTTATGCGCCCTCAATCCGCACTTCTGCCAAGTCCGCACTGGTGCGAGGTCCGTAGCAGACTTCTACCCGACAGTCAAAGCGGCATTACGTCACGAAAGTGCAGACTCAGAGGAAGACCGTGAGGGTTTAGGGTGCCATTTGGGACAGGGCCAATGTTTTCAGCCAAAAACAGGAAACTTTTTATGCGTTTTGCCTGTTCGTTTACACGACAACGGCGTTTTGGGGACTGAAAACGCATATTTTTGAAAACGGGTTTCACAGTGCAAGTTTTTGAAAACGCCACCATTGCCATTTCCGTGTAAACACCCAAAACGTGAATCTTTGAAAACGGTGACACACACAAACCCTTATTTTTGGATAACCCTTTTTCTTTAAGACACTGACATTTTTTAAATTATGAAGTTAATGAAATAATTGAAATCAAATGAGAAAAAGCAGTGTTCTTACTCAAGATGCATGAATTGTGAGCAATATTAATGTATCATTACTATGGGACTCGCTATCTGCTCCATTAAACATGTAAACAAGTGTATGCATACAAGTGAAAGACCGATGAAAACATCTATATTGGCAGCTCTGCTCAAGGCAAGTAGCAGTAAAGCATTACATTATTTCCTTTTTGGTGAAAACACAAAGCTTGTCAGTGTAAAATGATTTATGCAAATGAGTTACACTGAATGACATTACAGTGTGCATGCCTAATATAAAGGGTGAAGTGTGCGTGACTGTCAAACATTGAGTCGTTGATTGTTAGGTAATGTCGCTCTAACTACGCTCTGTTCTTTAGAGGATGACTGACATGCACAGCATCAAACTCCATGCTGCATCCTGCTTCGTCAGCACTGGGACAGCTGTTCACAGGAAGGTCTTAAGACTCTTTTTGAATTGCGGTCCTTACACACAGAGATAAGCACTGCTGAAGACATAGCCAGGCAGGTTTAACTAAGGTAAAACATCTTCAGCTATGTCAGTTTCCATCATTGGCTAGTACTAGTAGTCAAAAGTCATGCTTGTAAAACAAAGAAGAACTGATGCAGCTTTTCAGAGGTTTTGTTTCAGGATCGCCTGGTAAACTGTGCTAACTACTGTATGCTTCAGATCACCATATGGTTGCAGTGATTAAGTGGCTGTCGCATCAGGTTGCTGAATATTAAAGGTGCATTCAGTAAGTTTTTGTTTACATTTTACTGGATTTTATACTGGCACCTATAGGTTAACACTGTTTTTGCTCCTTTTTGTCAATACTTATTATTTATGTCGTGCACGCATCTATAAAGTCCACATTCTAGGACTACATCCCAACAAATTTTGTGTGCTGTTGGGGGTTCGTGCTGGTGCGCAGTATGTCGCGAGCTCGCTCCCTGTATAATGCAATGCAGCTGTCTTAGACAGAGACATTTGGTGGTGTGCTGGCCATGGCCACCACTTGTCCTGCCGTTTGTCCTCGCTCTGTGGAGCTGCGGGTCATCACTTCAGCATGGACCGCTTAAGTGGACATTTTATTTTCCACTCGTACTGATTCTTCTTGGACTGTCTGGTGGATCATGCACATGCTTATTACCATGAACTTAAATGTTTATAGTTTAGAAACACAAAAATTATTATTATTAATACAGTACTATTATTGTTATTATTATTAGCAACCAGGTCCAATAGAGTTCAACAGTTGTGTTCCTGAAGTAAAAAAAAACACAATTAATTTTCTCCATTGGGGAACTGATTTAATGATAACTTATAAACCTTGGAAGATAGATCGACTGTGAGCTACGAGGTTGTTGATTTTTTTTGTTGAAGCCATAGCCCACATCACATATAACTACATTATCCATGAATCTGCAAAAAAAAAAACACAATCAGAGAATCACAACAAGCAGGACATGATTGTGTCTTCTCCCCACACTCTCAAACGACATCTTTAAATCAGTGGTTTTATATTTATCTATTGTTTTTTATTTAAATCACTTGCAATGCTTCATGGGATTGTACTTCCTTCCCTCATTAAAGACACACAGTTTTGTACCTTTGTCTTTTTATCCGACTTTTGCTTCAAATTACAGTTTTTGTGATTCACCTTAGCTGGCTGGTCAGGTTTAAGGCTTTTAATGAAGACTTTTTTTTTATTCTTATGGGACAAATACTTCCTTCGAAACATTTGGGATAATGTAAGTACACAAGTCAGCAAAATATATAACACTGTTCTAATGGTTTTTGGATATTTTAATTAAAAAATCTTACATTTTGTGCCTTTAACCAAGGCTGCAAACAAAAAAAACAAACAAAAAAAAGTGGGCGGGCACTTTTTTATGCATTACACTGTTGGTCATGTGATCTCAACATGGTGGCCTCCATTAGAAGACCACCCGATAACATGTAGAATAAAGCAGCTTTTCTCATATTAGTGATGACAAATTCACCTTATTTTTTGGCTCGGCCATTTGTACATTTTATGGGTCTGGCTTCCTGTGTCATCTATTTCCTGCTATTTTTAGCTGTACAAAACGGCTTACTTTCGAGTTGAATAATAAGGTGGATAACATTTTAATCATATAGGCCTATATGTCAGACATTCGTTTCTTTATCTCTAACACATTTGAAGTAAAAGAAAAAAAACTGAGTGCACCTTACGTCATCTTTTATAGGAGCAAAAATCTATTTTCCTGTAAAAAATAATAATACATAATCACTCTGAACTCAAACAAGGTTGGCACAAACCACATTGTTATAAATAGCCTAACTATGTTTCGGTGACAATAAATAGCCTAGACAAACTTCTTTGAAATATGTGAAAAAAATAAAGATAATAGACCTATGACATCTTTGAAGGAGTCACAAGGTTTAGCCTAATCAGCAGCATGTCAGTGTTGGACAACAATAGAGAACATCAAATGCGGCACAACACCTTTTCAGGCGCCGAAACAATGTCTTGTGAACATAAAGTTCAATTTTGGGAACGATTTGTTATTAAACACGTTGTGAAGACGCAGTTGCCAAGGTAGGATACTATTAATATCAGCGCGGGAATTAAATCAATACGTCAAACAGACTGCGATTCTACGCCAGTTTTCCGCATGATGGCGACTCTGAGGTTTATAAAGTGCTTCTCTAGCGTCATTTTCTCTCTTGTGTGAAAGCAGAGAGCGGAACAATCGAAACTTGCATGTCTCTTGAGGAGAAACGCTGATAAATAACAACCTTTTTCCTGGAAAGCTAAACGGATATCAAACGATGAAAGACACTGAACTTAACTACCGCTAGCGTGACTGGCAAACAAGTTCTCAGCATAAAGTAGCCTACTAAAATAATTCTGTCATTCCCTCTCCTTCATGTTGTTATATATTCTGATAGACAAATGCCAGGCATAATGTTAGGGACTCACAGCATCAGTCACCATTCACTTTCATTGTATCTTGTTTCATACAATGAAAGTGGACGGTGACTGAAGCTGTCTTTCTTTTTGAGTTCCACTGACGAAAGTAAGTCATAGCTTACAGGTTTGAAACAACATGAGGGTGAGTACATAAAGACAGCATTTTGACTGTTTGGATGAACTAGACCTTTAATGACAAAGAACATAAACATAGGCAGCTAATATTTGTAATTAATTTAACCATAAGCAATCTATCATGCATGTAACATCTACGATGGCTTTAAACACAGTGTCATCTCGCAGAAAAGACGCTCATTTCCAAGGATAAAAGACATGACAGATAAACCCTATTAAACAAACAAACGAAATACCAGGTGCAAAAATCCCCGAGCACCGAGCAAAGCAGCAGATGCTGCCTGGCGGTAAAATTGTTGGTTGTCTCGAGCGCATGCTCATCATCTTTACGCATAAAACAAACCCCCAGTCGCTGCTGGCTAGAAACAGAATGACCATTTTCAGTTGTCTTACCCCAAAAGTAACTCTATTCTAACGCTCTGTATTAGTATTACAGAAGTATGAAGCAAAGTTGTCATTCCGTTTGTTTCGTACCTGTTTTTCTAAGCACTCCTTGGCTGACAGTGAAGGTTTGGGAGAGGGCGACCTGTCACACACGCATCCCTCCAACAGGTATAATCCCGAGGGTCGCGAGCTGGACTCGCTCTCAAAATAAAAAAGCATATTTTGCAACAGAGCAAACCACTTGGTGTGCCATTTTGTGTTGTCGGAGCTCTTTTTGCTTAAGCAGCCTCGCCTCGTGCCATCTTTCTTTGCCAAAAGACCCAGGTAGGTGACATGACCATCATTAAGTCGAATTCCCTTCTGCATTTTTGTGAAGAAGGTGCTGGTTTGGGGGGAGGGGGGGAGGCTTGTTTTGGTCCTTACATCTTCTTAGCGCGAGATCCCCGAGTAGACAGGCACTTTCTGGATTAGAAACGAAGCCTGGCACGTTCTGCCCATCCACTGCAACCACCGCTTTGGCATGAAGTAGAGAAGAAGCGCAGAGAAAAACGAAGAATGCCAAAGTCTACCATCGTAATGTTGTCGAATGCGTGCAAGCTTTGGGAAAAGATGCAGAAATGCCACCCGTTACCTCTTCTGTGACGCTATATATATATATATATATATATAAACAATAAAAATAACACAATAAATATACACAATAAAAATATTTAGGACCAGATTTTGCATTAAAACGTCTATTCAACAAATAACGATTTATTGCTAACAGGTGTTTCACGTCATAACTATTACTACCGCTGTATCAGAAACAAGCACCAGAACTCTCCTATAATTGTTGAAACTATAAATATAGACAGGGAATGAATTAAAATATAAAACTATAAATAAAAAATTTAATTATAAATAATTATCTACGTACGTTTAAATGGACAGTTCACCCCTCTTCTGTGACGCAGTGAGCGGGGAGAATTAGGCTACAGTGTATGCGAGTGATGTTTTGTCGCGTTCTCACGTGAAATTCTCTATAAACCAGTGAGCGCGCTCACTGCTGAATGAGGCAGTGGCGTCACGTGATCAGGCTTCAGCACCTCGGACAGAGAGACAAACGTACTTTTACAGTCGCTTGAGTTCATTTTAGATCTGTTGCACAGATTATGACAGATTGCTTCGTGCGAGGAAAACCCCTCTTGAACCTGTATTGCATTTAATGTTACCAGATATAGATTACTACGTGCCATGTTTGCACTAAACGTAACGCATAATCGGCATCTGAAGTGGCACATATACCACAAACGGTGCGTTTCAATGCTGCATAGAGGCGGCATAATATAGCCCATTAAAAATAGCTGAAATCTTAATGGCAGAAATAATGCTACACAAAGGAGAGGCTGTGCTAAATTGCGAGAATAGTCACTGTTATGGTCTTTATTAGGCACTGCAGAAATACTTCTTAGCCATACATCCACAATCAAGTAGCTACATCTTGAGTGCCATATTCACCCTGCTATGGAAGTCAATGGCTACCGTCAACTGTTTGGTTACCAACATTTCAAAATGCCGTCTTTTGTGCTCAACAGAAGAAAGAATCTCATACTGGTTTGGAACAACTTGAGTGTGAGTAAATGATGACAGAATTTTCAATTTGGGGTGAACTATCCTTTTAAGGCTGCACTGATGCTGCATTTTATTTACTGAGAAGCAACACAGCATCAGAGCTGCCTTTGATGCTATGGGCTGAGGTGGGTCAGAGCTGGTTATGTTAATATATGCAAATGTGTTTAACATAACTATATTGAAAAATGCCTCATGATTATCAAAATGCTCCTCTAATCAAGCATCTTTTTTCGGAAGGAAGGCTTACGTTTCAACAAAATCAATTGAAACTGCTTCAAAAGCATTATTGCCATTGGCATTATCATTTAAGCTCACTAAACATACTTATTACACGTTCAGAGGTATTATTGTTCCTTAAGGTAGCTCTAAATTATTTCATGGCTTGTCCGACCAATGCATTTATCTGTAATCAATTGTGTGAATGATCATTAGTGGTCAATTTGAGGTAAATCATGCAGGGCTTTGCTCAGTTAATCAAAGAAGCATTAGCTAGAGTGGTACACCTCCTGCCTCCCTGCAGAAAACGCTTGTTTTGCATCTCTCAGGGTTGTTGCACTTTCAGTGCTCCCTACGAAGATTTCTAAGAAAAACATTTGTCTTTGAAGATTCTTGTAAAATACTAATTTTGTATTAAACAGTTCACGGAAGGGCTTAAACCAGCACTTAGTGTTCACACTCAAACCTCACAATAGATGACGGCTATTTCTGCTCAAAGGCAGCAGCTCCTTAAACATCTCTATCATTTCCTCTTCTTTATTTCCTGTGATTGTTGACACCATGCCTGTGATTCACCATAAGCAGAAATTTTTTTACCAAGCACATGCTCGTAATGCCTCCATTCAGCCCTTTCCTGTAGAGCAGTGGCTCTCAAACCTCTCCATGAAGTACCCCCAGCACTGCACATTTTGTATGTCTCCCTATATCTGACACACCCACTTCAGGTCTTGCAGTCTCCACTAATGAGCTGATGAGTTGAATCAGGTGTGATAGATGAGGGAGACATACAAAATGTGCAGGGCTGGGGGTACTCCAGGACAGGTTTGAGAACCACTGCTGTAGAGATATGACTCCTGACTTCCTTATATATTAAAGGTGATGTCAGCGATTTCAACGAATACCACACATAATATGGCTCTGCCTGACAGATCACTGAAACCTTTTGTACACTTTCAGGTTTGGTGTTTTGGAAAGAGGGTGTGTGGTGTCTGAAGTTTCACCCAATCTATTTTCTAAATGCATCTTATTGATGTTATTGTGAATTTATCCATGCATTTTTTAAATTAAAAAAAAAAATTTTTTTTTTTATTATGAGCCTGTAATTTTTAATCAGAATGTTATAACTCTATCTTCCAGTGAAATTAGACTTTTTTCTGCTTATACATGCCGGACTTGTCCAGTCATTTCATTTGCTTAAACCTGATCCTTTCTTAAAACTTGCCTCCATTATGTTTTTGGGTTTTGCTCTACAAAAATATGTCATACCTGCAGCACTCTATATGGACAAAAAGGTGTCTCTACTTGTCTTACATTGCGACTTTAATAGTTCCGCCAAAAACGATTTATGCAGTTCTCGGTCAGTTGTCTTTTTTTTTTTTTTGCTCCTTATTTGTCACTATTGCATGAAAAGAACTGCATAAAGATTCTTCAGCTTCATCCGTTGTGTTCCACTTAAAGTACAAAGTCATAGATTTAGAAAAATAGGCAGTAATATATCTAAACTTGTGGTTCACCATCTGCATGGTTTATCTTGTGTGGAATGATTTATTCTCCATTCTAAAAAAGATCTGAAATATTAGGTTAAGATTATCATGCAGATTCATCCAGAGTTAATGAGGTAATTTAATTACAATCATAAAGTTTCTAATTGTAATTAACAGGAATTTTCTCGCTGTTTGTCTGCTGAGAACTGCTGGGTGTTGGATGAAGAAGGTAAAGGTCAATGCACACTTGATCGAATTCAGGAGAGTACTAGGCATCCGACGCTTTGACGGACCCTGGTCCAAGTCATCCTTACCATCCACCCCCACCAATGGCTCACTGGATTAAACAGCTTGCCTTTTTCATTGGCAATCAATTGGGGAACCATTTATCTGGGCTCATCAGGACCTGTGACGTGCCATCGTCTGATGCTCCTCTTTGTCTCAGCGCTAATGTGGCTGAACAATAAAACATGTTCTAGCACACAGGCAATATGCTCCTTTAAGCACCCAATTTGTTTAAAAGGCACAGGCTTTAATCTGGCACTGTCAGTCTGCTGGCTACTTCACTGATGAGATTCATTTATGACTTTATCCTTTTTGTTATCTGCTCTCCCTCAGAACTACACTCATAAATCCTCACAGTCCACCGTGACAACTATTTGAATACATAAAGACTTGTCCCTTGATAAGATATTTAATGCAGAATTAACATTAACATGGATTACCTGGTTACATTAACAAAACAAATGAAAATAAAAGCAGCAAAAGAAAAGAAGCAAATAAATAAATAAATAAATATATATATAAATGTATATATATATATATACATTTAGATTTTCAAAGTGCCAGACCACTGATTCGTCAAACCTGCTTTCCTGCAGTCTGTGTTCTTCTGACTTCTGACTATTTTGTAGTAAGTAGCTAACGAATATGCTTCGGGGAAATGTATCGGAGTAAAAGTATACATTTTAATTAGGAAATGTAGTGGAGTAAAAGTAAAAGTTGGCAGAAATATAAAAACTCAAGTAAAGTACAGATACTCCCAAAAAATACTTAAGTACTGTAACGAAGTATTAGGCTATTACTTCGTTACAATACACCACTGTACGTGTACTGCGTTAAGCTAACTGAGACTGAACTTGTATATCATTGCTCTTTTGTTGATTTTGATTGCTTCCATTGTCCTCATTTGTAAGTCGCTTTGGATAAAAGCGTCTGCTAAATGACTAAAGGTAATGTAGGCCTAATGCATCATTTACATATCTCTGTGTATGATTTTAAATAGTTGTCACTGTCATTGCTGAATGCTATCTGCTCACGTCATCTTTTGAATAAATTTGCATAGGAACATGCAAGGAAAGAGATAACACTGAGTACTGTCCGTTCAGTACTTGTATGTGGATTGGCGGGTCCTTGAGTTTTGAAAGCTCTGCTCTTTTCATGCATGCCGTTATGGGAACATGTTTCATCAGGTTTTTCTCTTTTAGATATTGATGAAGGGAGTAAAAGTAACAGTTTTGTCTGCAGCAATCTGAATCAGCATTCTCTGGCAGCAACAGCAACTGCTGACAGTGTGACTCAGAGACAGAAAAAAAAATTGCATTAAAACTCCTTGTCTTCTCTGCTCACCTTTTTTTCCCAGCACTTTTTCTGTGTCCCCACCACAGCACCCTTTGACGAGAAAAGGCACGTATGTGAAAGGTAGAACAGCAAAATCTTCAGGCATGAGTAAATCTGAAATGCAACATTATGAACTACACAATTTGAAAAATAAAAAAATAAATCGTATGCATTATGTTAAGGAATAGTTCACCCCAAACTGAAAATTTGCTGAAAATTTACTCACTCTAAGGCCATCCAAGAGGTAAGTGAATTTGTTTGTTCATTGGTCACCAATGGATCCTCTGCAGTGAATGGGTGTCGTCAGAATGAGAGTCCAAACAGCTGATAAAAACATCACAACAATCCACAAGTCATCAACATGACCCCAATCCATAAATTAATGTCTTGTGAAGTGAAAAGTTGCATGTTCATCACTAAGGTTTTTAACTTCAAACTTGCTTCTGGCTAGAAAGCATGTCCTCTATCAGTAATTCTGCATCCTCCACTAAAAAAGTCATCTTGTCTGAACAAGGAAAGTTACACTGCACTTGCACTGTTTACAAGTAAAAACATTTCTTAACAAATATGTTGATGGATTTTGATATGAGAGAACAACAGAGGATGGACTTCTTCAATGGATGAAGCATTATTATGGATTATGGACTTTCATTCTGATGGCACCCATTCACTGCAGAGGATCCATTGGTAAGTGATT